TCTTGCCGGTTCGGCTGCCCTGTGCGCACGCAAGCGCAGGGGAGCTGTGGCAGGCACCTGACATTGGTGGGATCCTGGGTAGGTAGTATTGATGGTCACCCAGCTATCAAATGGGAAGGGTGGGAGTGGACTGAGATCTGGGACTAGTAGCACCGCCAAGCGATGTCGTTGTTTTTTTTCTCCCTTGTTGCCTCGTCTTTTGCCTCCCGAGACCTTGTCTCTGCCCCGCTAGCCTTGATTGGCGGTTGGGCTCCCGGCTCTGTGGCGGCGTATCTCGAACAATCTTATAAGCTTGTAGCTGAGACGCGGCCACGAACCCGTTCAAGACAATGGAGGACGAAAACTCAGATGGTGCGGACGCAGGCACGCAGACTCGGGACTGCATGTGGGAGGGGAGGAGAGGGGCGACGATGTAGGACGATGTAGATAGGCAAGAATCCACCGTCCGGATCTGGCAAGCGACGCACCGAGTCGGGTGTAGGTGATGATGCGAGCAGGGAAGGTGCTAAGCAAGTGGGCCGCGCGGATGGTCTTCTGGAGGAGATGTTCCGCTCTCTCTTGGGGTGACCTTTTTTTTTTTCTTTTTTTTTTTTTTTTTTTTTTTTTCTCTTTCTCTCTCCCTCCCTCTTATTCCTCCCCTCCACCAATAACCAAAAAGCTTTTGCCTGCCGCATCACGTCAGAGGTGGAGAGTGTAGTCCGGGCACTGTTCATTGTGAGGCTTGCAGCGTCGCATTCTCGGTTTTGTCAAAGAGGAGACAAAAAATAAAATCGTATGAGGCAAACTTCCTGTGTTTGCGTTTTGTGGCACGTGAATGTGGGTATGTATGCATGTATGCATGCATGTCCGGGACGTTGCCGAGGAGCAACCATGGATGCGAGACGTAGGTACGTACCTACCTGTCTCGGCTGCATCACTTTTTTCCGTATGCATCGCCATCATGGTACTGCGTTCTGGAACTGAACCCCGAGTCCGCCGGCGGGGAGTGCGACCCGAAAGCTGCTGTGTGAGGGAAAAAAAAGGGTCCTTGTGTTGCTTGGCTAGGGTCCAATATCTCTTTTCTTTTCTGCGTACTTGCTAGCACGGGCAAACACATACGATGGGGCGGCCGGGATACGAAGGCTTGGGGGTTCTCTTGGGGGTGGTTCCTTTCCGCTTCTGTCACTTGCTCTGGCCTCTTCTCCCACTGAAAATGGTCCAGAATGGGAGCCGATCGGCTCCACGCCCCGCCCCAGACCCATCCGTTGCTGTGCTGGAGTTTGGTGCTCGGGCGTGATCGCTGCCCGGCAGGATCCCCAACCATGCGAATGAGCTTGGGCCGGGTGGCTTTTGGTCGTTTGTGATAGCGGCCGCTTGGGACAGGCAGGCAAAAGGGAGGGAAGGAGGGAGGGAAAGTCGAGCCCAGAAAAACGGTCCAAGCCCCTCCTCCCCTCTTCTCGCGCACGCCTATCAACCGTGCGCGCCGCGTCTCGTTCCTATCACAGCCCTCCCTGCCCATGACACCAAAAAAGCAATTCGAGCTGGGGGACGTGTTTCTGCGTTTCGTGTCCCGCAAGCACAGCGGGATTTAGGAAATCTTGTGTGCCTGCGACGATCCCAACAGGAAGTGTCCCGGGCAAGGGAAGGAGCAGCCGTGATATTTGTTTTGTTTGTGTCCCAGGAAACCCGGGTTGTGCGTGCCACTTTGTTTATTCCCAGACGGAGATTGCTGCATGTTCCCGTCCCGCGGTGCTTGAACCTGTTTCTGCGTCACGGAGCAGCCGAGGCTGTTCCGCCAGTGGCACACACATACACACAAACACACGTTCGAGCACACACCAAGCGGCTGAACGTCCAAACGCGTTGTTGGACACACACAGCTGCAGCCAGCAGCCAGCAGCAGCTAGCCGTTCGGGCGCGAGCAAAGAGATTGATCGGACGCAAGGATGGCACCAGCGACACGGGCCTCATATCACATGGATAATCCCTACATGGCACAGAAGCCTCACCCCTGCGAGCCAACTGACCCCTGCCCCTGCAAAAGCCACAGATCCGTGTTCCTGCATCCTGCAACAGCCGGTGCCCATGTGCCCCGTCTGGTCTCTTCGAGCCGGATTGGGCTGGGGCATGCCCCCCTGGGACGCAAGCCCTGGACGCAAGCCACCCACCAGCCTTTCCTCTTCCAATTTCCCCAAGGTCCTGCCTTTTTGCGGCTGGGGCACCGTTGCAACGTGCCGGGCCCCTCCATCCCATGCTTCTTTTCGTCTGTCGGACGCGTGCCAGTTAGGGCATCAGCCATCTTGGACAGAGAGGCGCGCCGGAGTCGGCGTAGGGATGGTCCGGTTCACAAGTCGAGACGGCGCTGAGGCAAGGGCTCAGGCGAACCAAACAACTGTTGGAGCCTTTCCCAGCCTGGGCCGGATCGTCTCGCCGGGTTTGTAACGCCTGGCTCGCATGGTGTCGGTGGTGGGCGCATGGACGACGGCGCTAGGAATAGAGGACCCAAGGGCACTTAGCACTGCTTAGCACCGTCTTGGGGGGGCACTAGGGAGGCAAAAGTTGTTTGTGGCGAGCCGAGGTGCACCGTCACATCTCACAAATCAAACTCGGGCTGTCGCAAGCCTCCTCGCCGTATGGCTTTCTTCCCCATCTTGGTCGCCGTCATGATCGTCATCCCAAGTCGAGGCGCATCATACCGCACTGCAAACCATCCGAACATATCCCGAGTCCTTCCCGCATTTTATCCTATGTTTTCGGTATGTGTGTGCTGCCTCATGCCTACATCCAGGTACCGCCTCCAGGTACCGCCTGCGTTGTTGATGGATCCTCCATTCCATGGCGACCGTTGTCCCGGCCCCTTTTCCGAGTGCAATAGCTTGGGGGTTTTAATGTGCAAACGAAACGGCCAGTCCTACCATCAACCATAGGCCACAGACGTGCGCACAGAGCCCACACGCGCGCACAACGCGAGTATACAGTACCTAGAGGCTGCCACACAGACACCACGAGCCCACTTGCGCGCTCCTGCGATATTTGACCTGCCTTGCTCGCTGTGCCGGGCTCCTCTTTTCCCTGCCTCCCTCCGCTCCGGATACCTCGTTTGTTCTTTCTTCTTTTTCTGTCCATCCTTCGGTTCCGCCTTTTGCTGTGTGGGCTGTTAGCTTTTTTGTGTCCATTTCGTCGCTTTTTTTTTTGTGCACCTTGGCCGAGTCGTTTTGTGTGTGCTGATTACCGGCCTCTCTTGGAACCTCCCCCATACCAACCGCCAATCAACTCACACCAGCCGGGTCCTCCCCTGCCCCAACCCGCTCGCTATCCTCTGGCAGTCTCCATCCTTCGGCGCCCCTGGCATCTGCTGTGTCTGGACTCTTGCAACGCAGCAACGGGCCACGAGAGAGAGACGTGTGATCGGCCTCGTTTTAAAAACATTCCTAATCCCGACCAGATCCTATTGCGCCGGCATCATTCCCTACAAGCGCCTGACACCATCGATAGACGACAGCCTTGGGGACTCGCAGCCTGGTGCTGATCGACACTGTTCCGTCAGGCGATTTGATTCCTATTCATTTGCACCGACATCCTGCGCGGCAGCACCACCACCAGCGCCACCACCAGCACCACCACCAGCAACAGTCCTCGCTGGATTCTATTAGGCCCGTTCATGCGGCCCCGCCCTCGTCCCTGTTCTGATTCACTTCCCTGCCCCTATCTGCAGCCACACCTCCCGGGCCGCCCAGGCCACCCCCACACCCCTGCGCAACACCCCCTGTATCCCTGCACCCCCTTGGTCCTGGCAGCCTCTCTCTTTTAAGTCCCGGGCGTGTCCATTGAACCAAATCTTCCCCGATTTGTCGTCACAAGCTGCCAGCACCAACGCACCTAAAAGTTGGTCCAGCCCGCCGTCGACCGTCCCCGCCGGTCTCTGCAGCTGTCCGCACCTAAAGTCGACCAGAGCCACTACTGCACCTGCGATTCGAGTGCTGCCGCCCAGCCTAATCAGCCCAACCCACTACGCTCATTCTCACTGGTCCAGCTCGCATACGCATATTCTACACAGCAGTCGCGCCCAACTGTCGTCGTTCGCTATGGCTGGCTTGATCCCTCTGCGGCTGCAGCCCGCCCCGTCGCCGACTGGCCGCAGGTCGAGCGCCATGTTCCCGTCTCCCACGAGCCCGAGGACGCAACAACACGCACAGCCGCCACAACAGCCCCAACAGCCCCAACATAAGGAGCTCCCACCCCGCCCGACATCGCCGCCGCCGCCGCCACCACCTTGTCGCCCGTCCCACGGCCGGCGCTCCAGCATGAGCTCCTTCTCGCCCGCGCCCGTGCCAAGTGCCATCTTGCTGAGCCCGTCCCCGAAGACGTCGCGCGCCATGAAGCACGTTTCCCAGCCGAATCTGTCTTGTCTGCCGGTCCTTCCCTACACCCCGATTGAGTGGAAGAGGACCATGGCAGAGATCAAGCGTCACCATGGTGGAAAGAGATTCAGGGCCTGCTCGTCTCGATGCGTCGAGATCCTGGACAACCTCAAGGATTCGGTAAGCAAACATTACTCAGACAGCCAACCGATGAAGCCCGTGTCAACTAACACGATATTCTCCCAGTCCACTGTCGAGCCAGCCCATCTTATCTACCTCCACTTCTACGCCGCCAACTCGCTGGAGATGCGCGCTCGCCCCTTTCCCATGGGCACCCTGGCCAGGGGGCAGCTTCTCACACAGGCCAGGAAACACTACGACGAGGCTGCCGCCCTCATCATGGCGGCTGAGGTTTCTGTCACGTCCAGGACGCGCTCGGGCTCCGCCTGTGCTTCGGGGCTCTTCACCATGAACGCCAGCTGCCTCCGCTCCCCCAGCCTCCATTCGCCGTCCGGCTCCGTCAGCTCCGGCACTTGGTCGACCCCGACTACCAACTCGTCACCTACCAACTCGGTCTGCTCCTTCGACGACATGCTCAGCAAGTCGTCTTCGCTTGCTCCTTCTCCGCGTTGCTCGGCAATGGCTTCGACACCCCGCAGCGCAAAGGCCAAGAAGACGGTGTCGTTTTCGCTGCCAAAGGAGGAGACTTTCAAGTTCCCTACCGAGCCCGTCATCCGCCCGGACTCCCCGACTCTCGGCTTCGACGACGCCTACTTCTCTGCACCCATTACGAAGCAGGAGCTTCCCGAGCTCCCCAGGGGCCCGGCCGTGGTCCACATCATCAGCGAGCCAGAGGATGGGAGGGAGTTTGCGAGGATAATAGGCAGGCAGAATGAGTACGAGGACGATCAGGCCTTCTTCATCGACCCCCTCGACGAGGACGACTATGACAGGTCCACCGCCCGGTCTGTCTACCGATACTGCGAGACACTTTCGGTCCTCCGGGCCCAAATTGCGTCGCACAGCCACAACCTTGACGAGCTCATGGGCATGTCATGCAAAGCCACCGAGGCGGCATCGCCTGTTTCACCTGCCCTCTCCTGTGGCTCATTAGACTCGGCGAGCGAAGAGATGCTAGCATTAGACCGCCAGGCACGCATAGAACGACTTCGCCGCCAGGGATGGCAGCGGAAGCGATTCGATGCCTCGAGATACGAGAGGCTCTGCAACGACGTCCTCGCCGAGCTGTCATGACCTGGAGCACCAACACCGTGGTCATCCGACCTCGAGTCTCGACATGACCTTCTTCCCTTTGTCCTCGAGCGATTTGATTTTTACCCATCCACATAATCCATCTAGACTATTAACGCCGCAATTGTAATCAACACACGCAACGTCATCACGCTCTAATACCCGACACGTCTACCTCGCTCTCGCTACCATTTACCGTTCCTACTTGTCATTTTCCTACCAACCCTTGAGATCTTGATGCCATCTCGCAAGCACAACATCACCTGCAAATTTTATACCATGTATTCCACAACTCATCGTATCTCTTTGTTTTTTTCTTTGGCGCAGGGGGTCTCTTGCATGAGGATACCCGACTGCCGCTCAATATGAGCGAGCGCACACTAAAAAAAAAAAAAAAGGAGAGGTCACGATGGCCTCGGGGAAGCCAGAGTCTGGAGGCTTGTTTTTTTGGAGCCTTGGTATTGCACCAAGGCGGCACCGTTGTACCAATATTTTATCTTTCGCTACTTGTTTCCTTTGTCGACCACCGCATCAACCACTGCCAGCCTACTCCCCGGCTGTTCAACCTTGGTGTACATCCTTACCATCAACCCTTCCTCAAGATTGGGTTTTTGTGCTGTATCTAGCCTAGCTCTTATCTTAGCATAAGCTTAAGCAATTGTGACTAAACCCAAAATAAGATGAACAATCTACCGAACCCTCTCAGAGATTCCACTAGTCAGCGTGAAACTCGGCGCGCTTGCGCAATGCGCATGACATCACGACAGCTGAGCGCTTTTAGCTCCGAGACTATTGGCGCACAAGGCAATCTCCCCCAAGTGAGGCGCAAAACCCTCATTTTGCGCCTCAAAGCCGGCGTCCTAAACGGCAGTCCGGCCGGATCCTTTGTGCCGCGCGCATGCATATGCGCTCACCGGGCTACCGTTAGTCAGTTCTGGCAGTCTGGCCCTCCTCATCTCCCTTTGCCCTTGCGTGGTCCCCGGCAAAGCAAAGCAAGCGCCCGCATTGACAAGGGGCGGGGGGAGCAGAGATCGTCGGTCTTGTCACGCATTTTGACTTTGTCTTGACAGCGGGACCGATACTAAATCAGTTGTGGGGGTGTGATATTGAGATGCGCTATGCGACCGAACTCTTGATGTCACCTTGATCGGCTTTTTGGCCTCTTTTTTTTGGTATGCGAGGGTGAGTGCATTGCATGTATGTGGAAAGATAACTGCCCGGGTTTTGCTTCCCCTCAATGGTGTTTTGCATAATGCAAATTTCCTAGATTCAAGATTGTCGGTCATCAAGCCACAACCGCGCCTTTATTGTCTGGCCCAGTTTTTTTTTTTTTTTTTGCCTCGCCTTGCTCCTCCGGCTGTGTTGGCCAAGCTGTGCGAGCGAGTGTTTGTGCAGGAGACGTCGGTGGAGATTTTCGGGGACAGACGAGGCGGCAAGTCCTGCCATGTATTTTCACGTAATTTGCACACGCGCCTTCAAGACCGCAAGCCGCGCGCGCCTTTCTCGACGCGCCCGGCGCGCACACGAACAAGCTGGCCAACCTTCCCAGAACTCACCGCGAAGCGGCTCTAAAGGGATGGGGCGGGATGGCGAGTATCGCAAAGCACGGGGAAAGCCTTTGCAGAAAAAAAGAAAAGGCTGAGTGCAGTACGGCGGTGCTCGCCTACGCCCACTCTACCACGGTAAAGGTCGGGTCGGGCTAGGGGGTGGGGGAGGATCCTGTGTGCGTGCCCGCCCCTGGTCAGGAGGCGGACCTATTCCCCGGCCCCCCAGCGGCCCGGCCGTCTGGATTGGACGGGAACACCGGATCTTTGTCGGGGGCTCTGGGCATCATGGAGACGGCTCCTGGCTTTGCCTCACCCATCCGTCACCCCCTTTCATTACCCAACCTGGTGGAACCCTGGGGGGTCTGGTCAAGCATCGCGGCAATCGTTCTGTACAAGATTGGACTTCAAAGCAGCTTTGCATGTGCTATTTCTGGCCTGTCATATCTTGCACGCGTCCCACAAAGCCGAAAAGTGAAGGGGTTGACGTTGGACCCCCAGCCTTGTGCCGGTGGAAACGAGAAACCTGCACTACCATCTCTGCACCAAATACATATAACAATATGCATGCATCTCCAATCGCACAATTACAAACAGCCCGCCGCTTTGTGCCTTGCATCCTGATCGTATGCTCTCTGCCCGTTGTCGTTTTCTTTGGTATCTCCTATCCTATTGGACCCCCGAGAAGCAATACAGTAAATCAAAAGGGTGTAAAAGGGAAGAAGAGTGATATAAATAAAGGATAAAATCCGAGGAAAGCTTTGCCCAAACAAGAAAACGTTCGTCACCAACCACCAATACCGAGACAACACACAGTCGTGAGGCTTTCGCGGCCCATTACCACCCACAACCGCCAGGCAGTGACAGATAGGTCTTCAAACCGCCCAGCGAAGTTGCACAGGGCCCGAGACGCGACGAAAGCCAACACGAGCATCCATGAGCCCGGAAGCGACTGAAATAACAAAGTCGCGCGACCACTACTAGCCGGTGAAGCTCTTCCTGCGGGCCTCCTTCTCCACCTCCTCTTTGACCTTGAGCGTCTGCTCCTGCTGCTTCATCTCCTTGACCTTGGCCAGCACCACCTCGCGGAAGATGGCGCCCTTGACCGCCTTGGAGAGCGTCTTCTTCTCGCCCGGCGCGAACAGCCCGCCACCACCGCCCGACGACGATGGCGACCCGCTCTGGCCCGGCGTGGCCTGGTTCACCGCGGCAGCCACCGAGTCTTCGGGCATGTCCGAGTTGTCGGGATCCTCCTCCTGCAGCTTGAGTGAAGAGATGCGGTTGGCCAGCTTGACCATCTCGATACCCCGTCGGAGCCTGGCCTTGGCCATGAAGGCCCTGATCTCGGGAAGCAAGTTGTGGTCGGTGGCGTTCTCGCCGCTCAGCCATCTGTGCCTCAGAGCTTGCTGCAATCACGTGAAAACGACACCGTCAGCAAACGCTGCCACATCAAACCAGTTGCGTAGTAGGGAGCACGCTTCCATGCCTACTTACCTGGCTTGTCCAGCGCTCATCGGGAGCTGGCCGCAGTAGATGCAGAATGAAATCCTTGGCATCGTCGCTCACGTCGCGCCAGTACCTATCGTGGAACACGACCTGGGCGCTGGAACACTCGTCTATCAGGTCCTGGAGGCTTTCTGAGCGGAAGGGTGAGTAGCCGCAGAGAAGGGTGTAGGTGATGACGCCCATGGACCACATATCCACCGGCTTTCCGTGGCCCTTCTTCAGCATCACCTCGGGCGCAGCATAGCCGAACGAACCCGCCATTGTCGTGAGCACCTCGTCCTTGTTGTCCAGCATCTTGGCGATGCCAAAGTCTGCCAGTACGAGGTCCGAGTCTGGTGCCTTGCTCAGATAGAGCAGATTCTCCGGCTTGAGGTCTGTCGTGAAGAGCCGCATGGCAGGGTCGTGGTCAGCCTAGCACTCGACTACTGGGTTCACATGCGATACCCACGAGGTCATCCAGATCATACTTACCCCTATGAACCACATTCTTGCTGTGGAGATAGTCGACGGCGCCGAGCACCTGCTTGATGGTCTGGGAAGCGTCCTTCTCCGTGAACTTTCCCTGCTCGCAAATGCGGTCGAAAAGCTCGCCTCCCGTCGCAAGTTCCGTCACGATATAGTACTTGTCCTACAGATGCGAGATTCACGTTCCGTTAGCGCCTGCATGCTCCTGTCTTGCGAATTATCGAGGCGCGGCATGGATCGGCACGAACCCGGGACTCGAACCAGTCGACGAAGCGCACGATGTGTGGATGCTTGAGCAGCTGTAGCATGTCGAGCTCGTCGTCCACCATCTTCTCGTTGCCCTTGACGTTCTTCTTCAGGATGATCTTGATGGCCACCTTGCCCGTCGGGCCGTCGGCCTCTCTGACGATGCCATAGGTGCCGGCGCCGAGTGTGCGGCCGAAGCGATACTTTGACCTAGCTGATGGGTTAGTCAAGCGTGGTGGTGGTGCGGGCGCGGGGCCGCGGTGGGGGCGCGGTGGCGCAAAGCAGCGCCAAAGGTTGCTGAACATTGGCAGGCAGAAAAAGAGAGGGCGTGATGGGAAGGCTGTTTGGCAGGGGTAGGATGCTCTTTACTTTTTGTCGTAGCTCTCAGGTTGCCCGTGCAGGCGGTTGAGCATGCCGGAGACTGGGCAGGTCAAATAAAAACAAACAGTCAGCTCAGAGCCCAAGGGAATGAAATAGGGCTTGCAGGCCCGGCCGACATCAACCACTGGCCGGGCATTGCGTGTACGGCAACGGGCATTCAATGATTGGGCGGGTGCTTGCTGTCGCGCAAGGTGGCCAGCGGTTGGGCTGTCGGCGCCGGATTCCTTGGACAAACGAGGGGCAGGCTTACAGCTCATCTTGACGTGCTCGACGGGGATCGGGAGGGGCCCGTTGCAGGGCGGGCGGGGGTTCGCTCAGTCGTGTTTGGACTGTGGGAGTCGATCTGGGCACTCGCTTCGAGATTGGGACGATGGTCGACAGCAACAAAGCACTCGTCGCCGCAAATGGCGAATCGGTAAGGATGGGAGCACCAAGGGAAAAGAGAGGGGCGAGAGGTTGCGGTTTTGTTTCTAGAGTAAGCCCGCCCAAGCGAGCGGCTGAGAGCTGAGCCTGACCGGGTACTCTGTGTAGGTTTTATCTGTCTGCTGGAGCACGGTGGGTGGGCGGAGCGGTAGTGGAGGAAGATTGCATCAGAGCCGCCGCTGGCAGGCAACCTGTGTCTTGGTCGGGCGGGCTGCGGTGGAGCCCAGGAGGGGACCAACAAAGGACTTCGTGGGCACACGAGCTGGGAGTGGCAGGTACCGGCTGGCTGCGCACCGCGTTGCTCGTACCGCGGGTGAGTGAGGAACGCGAACAGCCACAGTCGGCAGACCGATCCGATCCCTTTTAGGGGTCAGGCTGTCTTTCCCGCCGTCAGCGTTTTGTTTTGCGATGCGGGCTCGCCGATCGCGTTGGCTCTCCCCTGGCCTGCTCGTCTGGACAGGATTTGGCTGTCACTGTCAGACCCGATTGCAGCGTGTTGCTGGAGCAAGTCGAAACCCTGCTTGCCGCTGCCTTGGCTACCTTGGATGCATGACGTGAAGCAGCGCGCCTGCCAGAGTGCCTGAGTGCCTACAGCACACAGCACACAGTAAGCTGCGGTGCTGTGCTGTGCGCGCTCAGCCTTCCACCACCTTCAGGAGGGGTCAACCGAAGCGGCTAGGTCCCCACCAGGCATGTGGCTGACCCCGCGGGGCAGACAGGCGGGCAGTCTTGTGCTCGGGCCACTTGGAGACTGGAACCAGGCATTCATGCTGTCAAGGTACCACGCTAGCTCCTCGAACACCTGCCTCGGGAAGGTACCTGCCTTGTAGGAGCACGGTGCCACCTCACATCGACCCGACCAACCGCCTGTGAGGTCACCCCGTGGCGGCAATAGGGCTGGGGACTCGGTGGGGACACCCATCTGGGCCGGGTCGGCTTTCCTGCAAATCGATCGCCACGTCCACGACGCCCAACTCTCCGGCTAACACGCAGGGGAGTCGGAGATCCCGGACGCAGTCTGCCAAGACATTTGGAGGCACCCTGAGGCCAATACGCAGCAGCACACACTCCTACGTAGGCCCTACCTACACCTATCAGCTGCCAGTCAGGCTGGCCAACAAAGCGGGCCACCAGCCTTCCTCCTGACCTCCCTGTGCTGCAGCAAGCTAGGAGAGCCAGGCGCCTGAGACAGCCAACCAACCAGTCAGCCCGTCCTTTCTGCCTTCTTGGGTTGGTTTACTCCTGTCCGCCCTCCGCGCTACCAGCCCAGCAAGGGTTCCCCGTCGCTCCGAAACGGTGCAAAAGACCACCCTCAGCCGTCGCCGCCCTTTCGCACCCCGCGCCGCCAAAACTTGACTCCCTGACAAACCCGAGGCGCCCAGCTCGCTGCCCAGGGCGTTTTCTGGTGCGCCCTTGTATCTTGCAGATTCGGTCCGTGCAGTTCAGACCGAGGCTGGCCTGCCTCAACTTTGGCTAGCTGCCGATACACCTGTCTTTCCGCCAGCTTTCCCGATTACCGTTCGACACCGCAGTCCGCCCCACGCCCTGTCTGCTGGTTTTCTCCAACGCGCGTGTGGGCGAATACCTCAAACCTATTATCTACCTAGGTAGGTGGTAGCTACCTAGCTACCTCAGCGGCTGCCGCTCGGACAGTGTGCACTTCGCTGCCGCACCAGCGACACAACACCACAATCATGGCTACCTTCGCCACCAAGAGGCTCAGCAAGGAGCTCCAAAAGGTATCCTCAGGCTGACTTCGCTTTTACCCATGTCTACTGCTTCGGAATGATCAACTCAGGTGTTTCCCCGTGCGCAACCCCTCGATCTGACCCCAGTCCCTCGCATATCGCAGATCCAAAATGGCCTGCCTCCTGGGATCGAGCTCATCTCGGCCGAGGACTTCGAGGAGTGGACGCTGGACATCCAGGTCCTCGACAACAATCCCCTCTATGCCAACCAGATCTACAGGTTGAAATTCAAATTCGGAGCTACATACCCCATCGGTTCGTTTTGCCTACCGCCTGGCGCATGGCGCATAGCGTGGCTGGACTCTAGCCTTGCCTCCCCTTGGGGCGCAAAACGCCTGATATGACGCCGTGTTCCCCCGCCATTGCGTCCTATATGGAACACCTCGACTAACTGCCCCGCCAACCGGCTATCCAGAACCGCCCGAGGTCGTCTTCTCAAAACTCGCGGACCGCCCTATCCCAATCCACCCTCACATTTACTCTAACGGCATCATCTGTCTGGACCTGCTTGGCCAACAGGGCTGGAGTCCCGTCCAGAACGTAGAGAGCGTCTGCATGAGCCTTCAGAGCATGCTGACGGGCAACACTAAGAACGAACGTCCGCCCGGAGACGAGGAGTTTGTCAGAGGCAACCGACAACGACCGAAGGATATCGACTTTTACTACCACGACAATAACGTATGAGCCCCCTCAACGGGCGCATTGTTGTCGCCGAAGCGGGGGCGGGGGAATTGGTGCCGGCGGGTGGAAGAGAGAATAAGAGATCAGAACCCTGCGACGGCCGAGTCGCATCGAACAAGTCGTATCTCTTCTCTCCTACACATCGGCGGCCGCCTGTTGCTACTGCCTACCCAAACCCTCATACTCTGCCTCTCCTTCCTTTTCTGCCTTTTCCTTCCAAACTGTCTGGAGCGTGGTATCGAGCGATGGGCGTTGGTGATATGGGGGCCGAGATAGAGCCTTCGCCTTTGTTTTCCTTTTTATCCTCTTCCCCCCGCCTTCAAACGGGACACTGCATCAAGCAACGGGCTTCAGTATCAGGCTACCATGGGAAGGCGACTTAAAAGGTTGGTTGAGCATATTATTTGGGCGGTCTGCAGCGTCGCGGGAGAAGACCGCATGGACAGAAAAATCCCTGAATTTTCGCACTTGCATACATGTACGTTCAGCGTTCACGCTCTGCTTCTTCCCCGTATAATCTAGTAGCAGGTTGAGGTGTTTCACAAGTGTCCTGTGTGAGTGAGGAAGAGAATAATTGTATATGCCGTTACGTGCTCGGGGCTGCTATTGTACATATCCAGAGGATGTTTGCCTTTCATCTCATCCATTGTTTTGGCCTTCATTGCGCGCCTGTAATGGCGGTCCAAAAGACGAGTCACACCCCACCTACCATCAGGTATGTATATATAGGTTGGCGTGGAGTCGCAGCGTGCAAGAGCAACCCGAGACCCACAACGGCATTATGTCGCGAGCTTGACCGACCGTGCTCCCCTGGCTCGCAGGCTTGTCCCACCACGCTAGGCGGGCTCCAACGCAGGCAAACTGGCGGCGGTCGCTGCGCGTCAATCTGACCAGGCAGTCCACACCTCCTCCCAAATGGAGGGCTCGCAATGGCTCCTCATGTGGGATTCGACACCGACCAGGTCAGAGACAAGGCCCGAAAGGACCTCCTCTACCTGCTAGAAGGCGTGAGTAAGACGCGCTCCCTTGCGAGGCCTGCTTGCTGCTGCTGTGCAGCCGAGGTTCACTCGCGCAGATCCGGGCCTGGCTGTGATGTTGCCTCGGCTTGTCTCAAAAGAAGCCTCCATCTCGCCATTGGCGCCGCTGACTCGGGTGCGCTGTAGGTACGTGGGAAGAAAAACCTGGTGATCGAGCGCAGCCTCGCGGGACCGATTGGGCTCGTCGTCAAGGTCTCGACGCTCCAGGACTACGGCGTCGACAAGTTCTTCTTCCTGGAGCACAAGAACGTAGGGACCAACCAGCGCAACGTCGTCTTCGTCGCTAGGGGAGAGTGCGCGCGCAATGCACAGGAAATAGCAGGTCGGTCCACGTCTTCTTCCGACACCATCGCCATCATTACGTGCTGACAATCCCTCATCCTCCGCAGATGAGATCCGCCGGCTGCAGCGTGAGAGCCAGACCGGCCATGACTTCCACATCTTCTGGGTGCCTCGCCGCACCTCAATGTCGGATACGCTCCTAGAGGAGGCCGGCGTGTTGGGCGATGTGAACATCTCCGAGCTCCCGCTATGCTTCTTCCCGCTCGACAAGGATGTGCTCTCGCTGGAGCTCGATGATTCGTTTAGGGACCTGTACCTGGCAAACGACCCAACCCCGACCTTTTTGCTTGCACGTGCTCTCATGGGCATCCAGCAGAAGCACGGCTTATTCCCGCGCATCATTGGCAAGGGCGACAACGCTAGACGTGTAGCGGCTATGCTGGCGCGCATGCGCCAGGAGCTCCTGGCTGGCGAGGATGCGGGCGACAAGATTGGGCTGAACCCGAGCACGACCACCGAGAGCGTCATCATAATCGACCGCGAGGTCGACCCGGTCACGCCGCTTCTCACGCAGCTCACATACGAGGGCCTTATAGACGAGGTTTTCGAGATCCACCACAACCAAGCCGACGTCGATTCGACCGTTGTCGGTGTTGGCCCCCAGGCCGCGCAGGGTGCTGCCGCTTCAACCCAGTCCGCGGTCGGCGGTGCGGCACCCTCACGCAAGCGCAAAATCCAGCTCGATTCGTCGGACAAGCTGTTTGAGCAGCTCCGCGACGCAAACTTTTCCACCGTGGGACCGCTCCTCAACAAGGTTGCCCGGCGCCTCAGAAGCGACTATGACAGCAGGCATGCGAGCAACACAACTGCCGAGCTCAGGGCATTTGTGCAGATGCTACCAGCTTACCAAGCTGAGCAGGCCAGCCTCAAGATACATACTGGTCTAGCCGAGGAGATCATTAGCCACACGCGCACGGACCTGTTCCTCAAGCTGCTGGAGGTGGAACAGAACCTGACGTTCGGCTTCGAGCCGGGAATGGAGGCCATCGAGGAGCTCATAGCTTGTGATACCCCGCTGCCCAAGGTCCTCCGGCTGCTCTGTGTCTACTCGTGCCTCTCAGGGGGCATACTGTTCAAAGATTATGAGCATCTCAAGCGGCTGGTGCTCGAGGGCTACGGGTACCAGCACTTGCTGACGTTGCACAACCTCGAGAAGCTTCAACTATTCCTTTCCAGGACCTCGCCTCTAGCTCACATGATTTCAATGACTGGCGGCGGCGGCGCGGCAACCTCGGCGGGCGGAGCGGCGGCCGGCACCAAGACCAACTATGCGTATCTGCGCAAGCAACTGAAGCTCAACGTCGAGGAGGTGAACGAGAACGACCCACACGACGTCGCGTACACGTATTGCGGATACGCTCCGCTGTCAATCCGACTGGTACAGTGTGTGCTTCAGAAGCAGTACCTCTTGTCCGTCACTAGGGGCAATGGCGTGACAGGGGCGGGCGCAGGCGTCGGTGGTGCGGGCGGCTGGAAGGGATTCGACGATGCTGTGAAGCACGCCCGTGGCCCTGCGTTTGACGAGGTGCAGAAGGGCGAGGACAAGGCGGTTAAGGCGCGCGCGCTCCTGTCCGGCAGCGGAGAGCGCAAGACGGTCTTTGTCGTCTTCGTCGGCGGCATTACCTTCACCGAGATCGCGGCTTTGAGGTTTATCGCTAAGAAGGAGGAGGCACGGATCAATATTGTCATCTGCACGACCTCGATAATAAGCGGGAACAAGGTGATGGCGGCAGCGATTGAGAAGGGGTCATTCGAGAAGCAAGAGGGAGTACAAGCACAGGTGGCAGCCGAGACCGCCTGAGAGAGGTGTCGCTCAGGCACGCAGGAGCCAGGGCTACATATTTGTCTTTGATCTGTCCTTCAATTAAACAGCCTCTAATTTGTCGGGCTTCTCATCCTCGTTCGAATGCCGCGCCAAACATGATCGAAGGACTTGTACCTCGAGATAGCCCCCGCCCATAAGTTTCTGACTTTTTTTTCTCGGCGTTTTTGTAACGCAATAGACAGATCCAGGGATTTTCATACCGATATACGTGATTCTGGAAAGAGAGAGAAAATGATGACCTATATCTATAGAAATACGACAGCGATTTGTGATTTTTCACGGCACGCCTCTCCTGGCTGGTTTGGAGACCCCATGTTCTGCGGCGGTCCAGCCGGGGAGTCAAATCATAGGGCTCACGTGATGCATCATGACCTTTTTTTCCCGGTGTGTGGCAGCTCCGCTCCTGAATTTGCACTTACTGCTGGCCGAGACGAGACAATCCAAAACCACCAGGCGAATGCCCGGCTTACTGGTCCCCCATTTTGCCGTGAGGCTAGTCCATGATTGATTGGACCGTTATCTCGTGTCTTTTTTCTTCTTCCTCTCCCGTCTCACCCTCCCTCTTTACACGCTCCCAACCCTCTCCATTCGGCGACAGTGGATCAGGTGACCCCAGCCAATGTCCAATGCGCCAGGCTCGACCAGCACCCCTCTCCCATAGAACACACACACGACCATTGCCATCGACAACTGCCTCGTCGCTTGTTTAAGCCTCGAGGTCCGAAGACGGCTAGCGAATCTTGGTTTGGCCCAGTACAGGGCTATCCATCTCCACGGGCAGGTGAGGATCACTCCTATTCGAATTGCCGCTGCGTTCCTCCATATCTTCCTCCCACACTCTCTGTCTTCATCCTTCCCAGTACTTGGACAGGCCTTGTCATATGTCTGATGAGGCCCGCTTGGGCTTTGCCTCTATGTTATATGAAACCCCGACACTGGCTTTTTTATAGGCACACATGCCCCTTTCTGCGAATCAAGCCCAATCAGGCTCAGCAGCGGAAGCGCTAATGATGGTCATGCCCGTGCAGCAGACATCCGAGTTGTTCGGTTCAGTGTGAAGTCGGCCGGGCACTCGATTGATCACTACCGCTTCGGGTTCAATTGGCAGCACTGATACCATCAAATGGGACCTGCTGTCAAGTGGCCACAGAGCCTTCTCGACCCATAACACAAGCCGCCTTCCCCACCAAGCAACCCTCGGACTGCCCAGGCCGGCACTGTTTGATATCACACTCATCAGACACTCCATATAAGACCAAAACGGCGCAATCACGCCTCTAGCGCCTCCTCGGCGCCGCCTCAAGCCAGCCTGACCTTTCAGTCCTACAACGCCTGCCTACTCATCCGTGCCACCTCGCCGACACGATGGGGAGGGGGTCCGCCCGTCGGACAAGGGAATCGACTGGGATAGAAAATAGAATGTCGACGAGGTCAACAAGATCCAAGGGTCTGGACCTGGACTCCCGCGTACCAGCCTCGCCGCAATCATCACGCAAGAGGAAGCCCCCCGCAAGCAGCAGCCCGGGCCGCCCACGCTCACGACATCATGTCCAAGACAGCATACTGCCCGTGGACCTGGGCACCCCTGACACAGCCGGCACCCCCGATGGTGGCCTCGAGCGGGGCGTATCCAATAGTGTCAGCACCGACGTTGCCCCGGAAATTGTCGTTAACACCGACGATTTGGAGATGATGGACCTCCAGGAATCAGACGCTATGCCCACACCACAGGACAGCCTAAGGTGTGTTTCTATCCATCTAGCCGTTGTTCCCGCCGTATCCGAGTCCTATCATCTCAACTTGATTCTCTCGCTCTGCCATCCCCACTGCAACTTCTAATATCCACACGAAAATGAGCTACAACCTCGACGATGCTGTTGTCTTCTCACATGTGTCCACTCCCTCCTGCCCGTGGCATGCCAGTCATTTTCCCTCTCTGCGCATATCATAGGAGAGTCCCTTGCCTGTTCTTTCTTGCGAACCCTGCATAGTAAAGCACACCCCTTGTCGCCTTCTGCTACCATCGCGAATCCTACATGTCCCTTCGCGTTTATCATCACATAACCCGAGCACTGTCCTTTTCGCTGACTTTGAACCAGTATGTCATCCATACATGCCGATCCACAGTGCCTATCAAAACAACTGTTGGCCATGTCGGAAAAAGACAACAATACGAGACCGTCATTCACGTCCTCTATGTCAGCCCTGAGCGATCAGTCGGACCTGTCATCTATCCTGTCCTCTCTCTCCAGCAAGGCCACCACGCCTGTGGATTTGGACGGACCGAAGGACATCCTGCCCCCACCTCCTTCCAGTGTCGTGGTTCTCCAAGAAGAGCCTTCGCGAGAAGAACAGGGGCTGGATAAAGACAAGGAAGAGCAGAGCGAAGGAGTAAAAGAGGAGCAAAGCGGAGAAACGCAAGTAGTGGTTTGCAGAGAACCAGAAGAGAACCGAAGTGGAGAAGCACAAACCGAGATTTGTCCGCAACCGCAAGAGGAGCAGCGGGAAGAGGAAGCGCCAAGACAAACACCAAAGGAACAGCTTTGCGAAATCTCTACTGCTCCCGCAATACCTCAACCTAAGCCCTCCCTGCCTCCTCCCCCTCGGCCTAGATTCCGGGTTAGGGACGGCCCGAACCGCCGATACGACGTGCGGCCCAAGAATTCCATCCCAACAGACCTTTCGCCGCAAGAATACGCGGTCCAGTGCATCGGGTCTGCTGAGTCCTCCAGGTTCAACCCGTACGCCCTGCACCAGGAGGAGTACCTGATGCTGAGGGATCACATCAGCTTGGCGCAGATCACCACATACCTCAACATACGCAACGGCATCTTGAGACTTTGGGTTCGCAACCCAACAATATCAATCACACGAGAAGAAGCGATCGGCTGTGCCAAGGACAGTCGCTGGTTTGACGTAGCGAATCTCTGCTTCGACTGGCTCGTCCGGACGGGATACATCAACTTTGGTTGCTGCGAGATCCGTCAGTCCAGAAAACAGCAGGCCATCAAGGAAGAGGACACTGCAGGCCTGAAGAGAAAGACAGTGGTCGTCATTGGGGCCGGCGTGGCTGGACTTGGATGCGCCAGGCAGCTCCAGGGCCTGTTCATGCAGTATGCTAAGCGCTTCCGCGAACGAGGCGAGCAGCCCCCCAAGGTCGTGGTTCTGGAGGGGAGGAACCGTGTCGGCGGTCGAGTTTATTCGCGACCCTTTCGTACAAGGCCCGCGGTGGAGCCGGCCGCGCTTCGTGGGAAACGATACACAGCCGAGATGGGCGGCATGATTGTGACGGGATTCGAGAGGGGTAACCCAATCAACATCCTCATCAGAGGCCAGCTTGGACTTGCCTACCACGCGCTCAGGTCGGATGCCACGCTCATCACCATCTACGACTCGGACGGCAAGCCGGTAGATACCGCCCGAGACCAGCTTGTTGAGAAGCTGTATAACGACTGCTTAGATCGCGTCAGCGAGTACAAGTGGAAACTCCCCCTGCCCAAGCTCCTCCAGGGAAACAGGGACTTGATAGATGACGGGAAGGACAGCTTTGCCGAGTTACACAAGACCATCAGTTACGTGGAGGAGACGACAGCAGCGCAGCCCCATGCGCCTCCAGTGTCGGAGCAAAACATCGCGCCCAGAGTCGACATGGTGCCGGTGTCGTCGGATCGTGTGACTGGGAGAATCCATGTCGAGCCGGGGGTGCCGGGGGCTACCAAAGCCTCACACAAAGCAAAGCTGATGGGGTGGTCGCTTCAGGAGGGTATTGACGAGGACACAGACATCGACTTGGACCCTGCTACCAAGGCACCCGGTGCGACACTCGGCTCGGTCCTGGACGATGCCATCCTGCAGTACAACGGCCTGGTCGACATCTGCCCCCAGGACATGCGTCTCATCAACTGGCATATCGCAAACCTGGAGTACAGCAATGCCCGAAACCTGAACCAGCTGAGCCTCGAAGGTTGGGATATGGATGTAGGCAACGAGTGGGAAGGGAGGCATTCCATGATAGTGGGCGGCTACCAGAGCTTGGCGACTGGTCTTGCTCAATTCCCATCACCCCTGGACATCCAGTACAAGAAGGCGGTACGGTCCATAGCGGCCCTGCCGCCGAGACCTTCGTCCGCGGACGGCGGCAAGCCTCGCACCGAGGTGGGGGATCTTTACAAGATTGGGTGCGAGGATGGCTCCGTTATCGAGGCCGACTACGTTGTCAACTCGATCCCGCTTGGTGTGCTAAAGCACGGCGATGTCGAGTTTGACCCACCACTTCCCCAGTGGAAAACCGAGGCCATTGATCGGCTGGGTTTCGGAGTCCTGAACAAGGTCGTCCTGGTTTATGACAGGGCGTTCTGGGAAGAGGACAAGGACATCTTCGGCGTGCTGCGACAACCGCAGAGCGGGACGAGCCTTGACCCCCGGGACTACTCGTCACGCCGCGGCCGCTTCTTCCAGTGGTTCAACGTGACGCATACCAGTGGCATGCCAACCCTGTTGGCGCTGATGGCAGGTGACGCAGCTTTTGACACAGAAAAGGCGCCCGATGGCGAGCTCGTGGCAGAGGCCACAGATGTCCTGCGTTCCATCTTTGGGCAGTCGGCCGTCCCCGAGCCCACCGAATCGATTGTGACACGATGGGGGTCGGACAGGTTCGCGCGCGGCAGCTACTCGTCGGCCGGGCCCGCGATGAGGCTGGATGACTATGACCTCACGTCGAGGCCCGTGGGCGATGGGCACTTCTTTGCGGGCGAGCATACGTCTGCCACACACCCCGCAACGGTGCATGGCGCGTACATATCGGGCCTCCGGGCGGCCTCGGACGTCGTCAACGCGATGCTCGGGCCGATCGAGGTGCAGCGGCCGCTCATAGTGCCCAAGGAGTCGGCGGCGTCGGCGCTCAAGCGCAAGGCGGCCGAGGCGGCGCGGGACCCGCGCACGGAGGCGCTTGAGGCGTACGAGGCGCGGCTGTGGGAGCACATGCGGGCCCGGCTGGGCGACTACCCGCTCGAGCCGCCCAAGATGACGGCCAAGGCGCACATACTCTTCATCAAGGCACACTTCGAGGCGGCGAGGCAGCGGTGCCTGGACGGGCGGCGGCCAGGCAAGACGCCGCCGTCGGCGAGCGAGGTGCGGTCTGCGGCGGCTAAGATGTGGAACGCGGCCGGCGAGGAGGAGCGGCGGCCGTTCGTCGAGCAGGTCACGCTGCTAAAAGAGCGGCACGCCGCGGCCGTGCGCGAGTTCGCTACAAAGGCCGAAGAGTACGGCCGCAGGGCCGCCGAGGTTACGGCCGAGTACGAGAAGAAGAACCCCAGGCCCGTGTTCCCCGAGGATCCAGCGTTGGTGCCGGCGACAGGTCCCGGCGCGACCCCGACGGCCTCCAGCTCGGCGTCCCCGGCCGCGACGGAGGGTCGGCGGGCGAAGAGGACGTCGGTCGGTCGATACACCGAGCCCGACGACGATGTTGCCATGGCCGGCTGAGCGGCAGTTGTGTCGTTACTCCGACATGACGCAACGACTTTCGCTCCGCCTCATACTAGACGAAGTCAGTGGTTGGCGCAAGGCGACGTTTTTGAGCCTTCTTGTTTGTTTTTAGTCCACCGCCGTCGTTTCCGCATACAACCCTCAATTTGAACCCACGCATGCCCTTCTTCTTATCTCTTCCTTCTTTTCTATACGCACCTTTGCATGGGACAAAAGCAGGGCATTGGGGCTGCCATTTTGGCGGGAATATATACACATTTTCCTTGTCACCATCTCCGGATTAGAGCCTCAGCTGCACAGGACGGCGCAAAAATGCGGTGTTTTTTTTTTTTTAGAGCTTTTAGGCCTGGTTTCTTTGCTATTGCTTAGTCTCGGTTTGTCATCTCGTGCATCAACATTGCTATCGTCGATATTAATACGCCTGCTTTCGCTCGCTGTTTTGGTTCGTATTTGGTGATTAGTGGTATTTTGTAAGTATGGAACAAAGGGGGGCAGGGCAGAAAACGGCGAACGGAATAGATGACCGGGTTTATGTCGCCCTGCCATATCTTTGCATGCTTATCCAACATTCACGTCTTTGTTTCTACCGTCTTGGTATACAGGATGAGGTGGGGCGCATGATTGCGGGAATAAAATAGAACACATGCATTTGTACAAAGTGAAGATAGTTTTCGACGGCAACGAGGAGGGTTCCCTTCCTTCCGCCTTATTCCTTTTTAATGGTCTAGGGAAGCCAGAAGACGAGCCCCTTAGTCCCCTCCCGCAAAATCTACAGCCTCACACCAAACCTTCCCCAGATTACCCACCTTACATGTCCTCGGAAGCGGTGGCACCGGTGATAATCTCAACCAGCTCACCGGTGATGACGGCTTGACGAGTCCGGTTGAAGAGAATCTGGTACTTGTTGATCATCTCACCGGCGTTTTTGGAGGCGTTCTACAAAAAGGAGGCATAAATAGTTAATATCGTGGAATGACCACCCTCCGCTGGCAGGAGCAGGGGGGAGGATGGGGTCAGGAGGTCCAATTTTTGAGCTTACGTCCATGGCGTTGCGACGGGCAGATTGCTCGCAGGCGTGGCCCTCAGCCAGAGCCCAGTAGAGCGAGTTGGCCAGAGCGTACTCGCGCAGGTTGGGGAGGAGCTCCTCATCGACCTCGAAAGCGGAGAAGTTGGCTGCACATGGGGAGATGGTTAGCTGGGTTGGAATCAGGGGCAAAGGGCACAAGCTTACGCGAAGCGGCAATGGCCTCCTCAGAGAAGGCCTCAACAACGGTGGCCTCGTAGCTCTGGGCGTTCAGGAACTTGTTGTAGTAGATCTTGATGCTCTTGTAGTCGCCGGGCAGCTGGACAATCTGGTCGGTGATGGCCTGGGCGTCGGCAAAGGTGGGGATGTTCTTGCCGATGCCGGCGAAGCTGATCTGGATCTCCTTCGCGTTGGTGCGGCTCAGCTGGGACTTGCACTTCTCGCCGATGATGGCGATGTCGAAATTCCCGCCCTCGGCCGACAGCTTGCGGACGGTGCGGGAGAGACCCGAGTGGATGCCGCCGCACAGGCCCTTGTCGGAGCTGCAGACGATGAGTAGGTCCTTCTTGTCCTCGGCCTCGAGCGGCTTGGTCTGGGCCGAGTCGAAGACCTCGTTGGACGTCTGGCCGTACTTGCGGCTGTCGAACATGGCGCGCTGGGCGCGGTTGAGCTTGGTCGACGCAACGATCTTCATCGTCTTGGTGATCTTCTCGATGTTCTTGATGGACTTGAGGCGGCCCTCGATCTCGCGCAGCGTGGCGTAGGTCGCGGCGTTGGAGCCGGCGGCGACGGCCCTGCGTGGGGGGGGTTAATTTGCGCATCGTCAATACTGGTTTTCCTGCAGCCCTGTCTCCCCCCCCTTTGGCCCAGCCCAACCCAGTGCGATGCAGCAACTATCACCGAGCTACCCCAGAGAGCTACCCCGGAGAGGTCCCATGGCACCAGCCCACCCACCCCTCCATTGCGTCTGCGCCGTCCCGTGGCCCGTTGTCGCCAGCTCCCTCCACGCCGTCCCTCCTCCTGTATCGCCGGGCGCGACGGGGTGGTGTCTGCCCGCTCCGAGACTTACCGAGAAGGAGCCGCAGCGGCAGCCCGCAGAGCTGGCCTGGCAGCCCTCGACAGCATCGTGGTGGGTGGTGGTGTGTTCAAAAGAGAGGGGGAAGAGAGTCGGGGAGCCTCTGCCGACGGTGGCTCACTTCACCGCGATTGATTTGGGCCAATTGATCGGTTTGGGATCGGTCGAGTGGAGAGGTAAATGTCGTCAATTGCAGGTTCTTGCACCTTTTTTTCGACATCGTCCAACCTGGGAGGGCCCGGTCCCGTTGTTCCGGCAAACTCCATCCCCTCACCCAATCACGGGAATTCGGCGGTGCGCATCACGTGACAGAGGCACCCGCCTTGCCAATTGCCTCAGCCTGCAGGTGGCACGAACTTTCACAGTTGGGCTGTCCGTTGGCAACCTGGCAATCACGCACATAAACAAATCCGGTTGGACAACTTGGACAGCGCACACAAATAGTTGGCATTGCTATAGGTCGGCTCTAGGTTGCCTTTTGCTTGGGATATCTTGGGAAAAAGGCAACCACCAGGAAAGCGCCTGATCCAGACAACGGAAGGGGGCTCCGATTAGCTGAATCGCCGCAACGCAACTGCACTTTCATGGTCTTGTCGCGGTGCCGCCTCACCACCAACCCGACCCAACCCCAGCCGCCTCGAGTCTCACGCATCCTCGTCCCTCCCAGCCTATCACGTCGCTCCCGCCAAAAAGGTACCGCGCCGCCCGGCCTCCACAACCACTCGGCCCTGCAAGTCCGCTCCCGACAGCGTGTCACCGTGCCTCCAGCTCGCTCAAGTTGCCTGCCCGCGCGCCTGTCTGGGCTTATTCGTGCATTGGGTTCGCCTTGGGTTCCTTTGTCAACGCTGTGGGGCCTTCTGCTCCATTTGCCATTTGGTCGGGTTGCCCAGAAGCTTAGAGCCAGCCACAACTTAACGTTGCCCGAGGACTGAGCGTGCAGTCCGTCAACTGGGTCTGTCCTGCAGGCAGCAAACCCTCTGACCCCAGTGCCCCAGTCAAGGCCAAAAAAAAAAAGTCTCTGGCGGCCCTGTGCTGTGCTGCACCCATTCCTCTGGAACCTCCCTCCCGCCCTGCCAAAGCACGACAGCGAACACGGGCTTCCTGGTCCGCGTGCTCGTCGTGTTCCCTTTTCCCTTCCGTCAATCTTACCCACTAGTTCTCAATTCCAGTTCACCCGGCCCTGAGATTCAGCTCACCTCCAACTCGAGCGTGCTGCCTTGCGTCTTCGTTTCATTTTTGCCCATTGGTTTTACTCAGATTTTTTTTTTTTTGCCTTTCTTGTTTTCATTCTTCCTCTCCCTCACCAGCTCCGGCGACTCTGGGCCTTGACGATATCTTCCTTGTCCTTTTCTCTCTAGCCTGCCTTGAAATTACCCACTCCCGGCAAACTCTTCCCTGGGAACCGACGCCTGTGCTTCCCCAACAGCGGACTTTTTTCTTCTTCTATTTTCTCCACGTTCCCTGCCGCCTGCCGACGGCACTCGTCCTGTGCATCGCCGTCACACATATTGCATTGATCGCGTCTTCGCTTCGCATCGCCATTTTTTTTTTTCTGTCACCAACAAGCCACTCTCCCTTCGCCATGTCGACCGAAAGCTCCGACGACGACATGCCTTTGGCACGTTCAAATGGCCACGGTGAGTCGAGTCTCTTGTTCGCCCCGGTCTGCCTCGAGTGCGCCAGAGCCCTGTCAGACGGACGCCTCGCATGTCTCGCCTGGCTACCTTCACACCGACGTGTCATAATTCACTTTCTCGCGCCCACTGGCCAACTCTCAGTGTAGCGCATCATATTCCACCACCTAGCGACCCTTGGAAACTGACCAACTTTCCTTCCCCATGCATAGTCTCCGCGGCTCGAATCAGCAAGGCAGAGGATAGCGAGATGGACAAGACATTTGTTAAGGGAAAGGTCGCGCCCGTCTCGATCCGCAATGGACCGGTAACCGACGACCCCATGGACGTCGATGGCCAAACGAACGGCGCATCAAAGCGGAAGTCGCGCTCGTCGCTGGGCAATAAGCCCGTCAGCTACAAGGATGCTTCCGACGATAGCGACGACGACGCGCCCTTGGTATGCTCCTCCTCGATGGACATGTGCTGGAGCAGCCAGCTACTTTTGGATTCGGGGCCGTTCCGCTGACTTGATGCTTACTCGGTGACCAGGCTAAGCGTCAGAAGCCGAACCATCGCGCCCAGACAGACAGCGACGACGACGACGTGCCTCTTAGCAAGAGGGCCAAGTTGCCTCCGTCCATCTACGAAACCCGCCTTCCCGACTCCGACTCCGACGACGAGCCCTTGAACGCGAAGCTGGCCAAGAAGAAGGCTGCGATCGAGAAGAAGGCCAGCAATGAGGCCAAAGCAATCCGCGCCAGCGAGGCCAAATCCAGGAGAACCAGCATCAAGAAGGAGGAGGATGATGATTCCGACGACGAGCCGCTAGCCAAGACCAAGGCCAAACCAGCTGCGAAACGCCAGTCCAACGGAGCCTCGTCCGCCAAGAAGACGAACGGTGTCAAGAAGGCAGATTCGGATTCAGACGAGCCTCTGTCCAAGTCCAAGAAGCCAGCAGCCAAGGGCAAAGCAACATCTGCGAAAACCGCCGCTGCATCCAAAAAGGCCGCGCCGGCGAAGAAGGGCGCATCAGTAAAGAAGGAGGCCAAGCAGGAGAGCGAGGAGGCTGAAGGCGGAGACGAAGAGGAGGAAGAGTACCGCTGGTGGGACGCCCCCAAGAAGGAGGACGACAGCATTAAGTGGACGAATCTGGAGCATAACGGCGTCATGTTTCCGCCCTCGTACGAGCCGTTGCCCAAGAACGTCAAGCTCATCTACGACTCTGTCCCGCTGGAGCTGCATGTGGAGGCTGAGGAAGTTGCCACGTTCTATGGATCGATGCTGAATTCCGAAGTCAACACAAAGAATCCGACATTCAACAAGAATTTCTTCAGTGGCTTTAAGGACAAGCTCAAGCAGACCGGCGGCGCCAAGGACAAGAAGGGCAACAAGGTCGACATCAAGGAATTCGAAAAGCTAGACTTCCAGCCTATCTTCGCTCATTACCAGGCGATGAGCGACGTCAAGAAGGCCAGGTCCAAGGAGGAGAAGAAGCTGGACAAGGAGGAGCGTGACAAGCTGGAGGAGCCCTTCAAGTTCTGCAAGTGGGATGGCCGTAAAGAGAAGGTTGGCAACTTCCGTGTTGAACCTCCGGGGCTGTTCCGCGGCCGTGGCGAGCACCCCAAGACGGGCACTGTCAAGGAGCGCGTCATGCCTGAGCAGGTCACCATCAACATCGGCAAGGGCGCCAAGGTGCCTCCCGCGCCTCCCGGCCACAAGTGGAAGGCGGTTCAGCACGATAACAAGGCAACATGGCTTGCCATGTGGCAGGAGAACGTGAACGGAAACTACAAGTACGTCATGCTCGCCGCGAATAGCGCCGTCAAGGGTCAGGCCGACTTCAAGAAGTTCGAGAAGGCCAGAGAACTCAAGAAGCATATCGACAAGATCCGCCGCGACTACACCAAGGACCTGCGGAGTGAGGTCATGGCAGACCGCCAGCGGGCCACGGCCATGTACTTCATCGACAAGCTCGCGCTGAGAGCCGGAAACGAGAAGGACACGGAGAATGAGGCTGAGACGGTCGGCTGCTGCTCTCTCAAGTTCGAGAATGTCACGCTCGTGCCGCCCAATACTGTCTACCTTGACTTTCTGGGTAAAGACAGCATTCGCTTCGAGCAGGAGGTCGAGGTCGAGCCCCAGGTTTTCAAGAATCTTAAGATGTTCAAGAAGCCTCCCAAGGAGGAGGGGGATGACATCTTCGACAGGCTGACCGTAAGAACACCCAGACCCTGGATCTGTTGATTTCTCACCGATAGGCGCTAACAATCTGTCCAGACGTCCCAACTCAACAAGCATCTTTCGAGCTACATGACGGGCCTGACCGCCAAGGTCTTCCGTACCTACAACGCTTCTTACACAATGTCAACTCTTCTGCAGGAGCTCGACGGTCCCAAGATCGCCAAAATGACGGATGCGGAGAAGCTCAAGGCGTACAACGACTGCAATCGCAGGGTCGCCATTCTGTGTAACCATAAGCGCTCAGCGCCCGCGGCGCACGGGGCGCAGATGGAGAAGCTCGGTGACAGGATCAAGGGCCAGAAGTACCAGAAGTGGCGCACCAAGATGATGATCCTTGATCTGGATCCTAAGCAGAAGAAGAAGAAGGGTGCTGCCTTTTTCCAGCGGGAGGAGGAGCTGACGGACGAGTGGGTCAAGTCGCACCAGCAGTTCCTCGTCGAGGAGAAGAAGACCGCCATCACCAAGAAGTTTGAGAGGGACAACGAGAAGCTCGTCAAAGAGGGCGACAAGAAGCTGCCCGACAAGGAGCTCAAAGAGCGCCTCAAGGTGGCGTCGGAGCTCGAGGCTAAGTTCAAGAAAGAGAACAAGACCCACAAGGTTGAGGCCGAGGGCCGCGGCGTCACGGTCGAGAAGCTCGAGGGGAACATCGAGAAGATTGAGGAGCGTATACGGAACCTCGAGATCCAGGCCGCAGATCGTGACGGCAACAAAGAAGTTGCCCTGGGCACGTCCAAGATCGTGAGTACCTTGCTGTTCCGGATTCCGTCACATCAGAACAATGGCTGACTTGCATGGCACAGAACTACATCGACCCACGTCTCACCGTGGTCTTCTGCAACAAGGCCAAGGTCGGCATTGAGAAGTTCTTCTCCAAGACCCTGCGTGACAAGTTCAACTGGGCCATCCAGTCGGTTGGAGACGATGCCGAGTGGGAGTTCTAGCCGCCCGAGATGGTCCGTCTTGAATCAATCAGGGCCGACCTTCGCCTTGGCGCTATGATCGTGCCAAAGTTTGTATTTTGGATACCACGTTAGACGCGAAGCACCAAGATCTCTGCGGCATTTCTCTACATACATACGCAATTCTTCTCGAGAGCTGTTCGCATTGGCAGTCGGGCAGGCTCAGCCCTATTGCAAGTCTCTAACGTGGTTTCTTTGGTAACTACTTGGTGGAAATTCTTTTTTTTTTGGCATGGCGATAGGAGGAGTCGAGGAAGGGGGGTCAAAAGGTCGGCGGCTGCTTGGGCATGAGCCATGATTGCATGCGCATCAGTTCCCTCGAGATAGGGGCTCGGTGGGACCATCAATCGGACGGATGCCATGGCGTATCCGACGAGCTCCCGCCTTTGTTGCTTTACTTGAATATAGACCCGAGGCGATGACTTTAGATGAGAAATGGCATCATTCTTCATACACACTGGTTTAGAGTAGGGGGTGAGATGACTAAAAGTCGTGCGTGCGTGTGTGTGTGTGTGTGTGTGTGTCTATTACTATCCGTCATGCTGGTCCAGTGGATTCTCTTCCCACTTTACTACCGTATGTCATATGGCCCAGGGGTATAACCCGAGCACACAATCTGTTCCAACATCCCGAACCTATGTACAACCCAACAAGGTGCTCTCAGTACCCATATGCAGACCATGGAGGCACCGTGCCAATGCGTTTTAACCTCCGTCTTGAAACCAAACGTTGAAAAGTGAGCCGGATGTGCTCATAAACAAGCGCTATTTACCCCCCATTGACCGAACGCCGGATAGTATGCAATGATGAAAGAGGGCGGGCAGACAAAAAGTAGTAGAAATGTCTGTCTAGGAATAAAAATAGAGAGATAAAATAGTCAACCTCATCGCCTAATGCCAATAACGACTAGACACAGGATAAGAGGACCAAAAATGAGAGCGAGATGGGGAGGACCTGAAGGGCGCAGGGAGACGATGTCAGTATCACGAATTAGGTATGGCAGTGGAGAGAAGCGGAGAGACAGGGTTAGACATACGGATCAGGGCGCCAGCGGCCGGGATGAGCTTGCCGTCGGACCGGATCCTCCAGCCCTCGGGCACGGGGTAGGGCGACGGGTAGGCCGAGGGCTTGACGGCGGCGGGGCCGCCGATGCCAGCGGGGACCGAGGGCGACAGCGAGGTGGCGGCGGCGGCAGTCGCCGTGACGGTGATGCTGCCGGCGCGATCCTTGTTGCCGTTGACGGAGCCGCCGACGGCCTCGATGCTCTGCCAGGTGCCCGACGTGTCCTTGTACTTGTACTGCTTCCCGCTAGAGTAGTCGGCCACGACGATAGACCGGACCAACATCGAAAAGGGCCCCCGGCTGTAGTCGGTCGGTCCCCGGGCCCACTCGACGGTGCCCGAGGGGTTGGCCGGGTCGCCGCCGGACCAGGCGCCGAACTTGACCTGCATGGGCGTCTGTGGGTACTGGCCGGGCTCGGCGTCGGCGTACTTGAGGGTGCGGACGGCGGTGCCGTCGATGGACCAGATGATGCGGTCCTGGGTCCAGTCGATGGCGTAGGTGATGAAGCGGTCCTGGTTGCCCGGGTTCTTGTGGAACTGGCCGCGGTTGTAAGACGTGGTGAGGCCCTTGCCAAAGTAGTTGGACTGCACCTCGGACCCGTCGGCGCCGAGCCACTCGAGGTCGATCTCGTCGAGCGTGTCCGACTGCAGCACGAGCGTGCTGACGATGCCCTTGCCGGGCGCCGCCTTCATCGTCACCTCGACGCGGCCGAACATGATGTAGAAGACGCTGATGAGCTGCGGCGCGTCGCCGCCCCGCGCCACGGTGAAGGAGACGCCGTCCCTGCCGTACGTCGGCGCCGTGCCGCCGCTGGGCCGGAAGGCGTCGACGGCGCCCTTTGTGAAGTCGACGTTGACGGTCATGGCCAGCGCCGTGTTGGCCGGGCATGCTATTGGTGAGCTCGTTAGCTTTATTGCGCCCTCCCTTCCTTCCCCCTTGCCTCTTTGAGTGCACTTACTTGTGTGTAGGGGGTTGCATGCAGACCAAGTCTGAGACAGGGCCAGCCCGCTAAGCGCCACCACGCCGAGGGCGGTCGCCCTTAACCTCGTTGCGAAGTGCATTTTTAATGCCGTGTGTGAGAGTGATGGAGAAAGATGGAGGGCGAGAATAGAATATCGCGTAGCCCCTGGGAGGGAACCTGCGATATCGCTAGCGCCTTGCTTCCAGCGCCGCCGCCCGCTCTCCGAGCCAAATTCCCCCCTCGCTTCCCAAAGTCACACGGCCTTCGCAGGAGGAGAGAGGTTCAATGAGCAACCAATGCGCCCACCCGAGGGCTCGACGGGAACAGACAGAGAATCGAGATGAAAGAGCTGCCGACACGGAAGGTTTGTATTACGAGTATCGGGACAAGTCGTCTGCTGGAGAAGCACTTGGAGATCTGGAGGGTGGTGTATCGAGAACAGGTAAAGCTACATTCGGGAAGCCAGCCCTTGCAGCGAGGGAGGTTCCGCGCCGTCTTTAAGACAATGCATCCACTGCCATGCGTCCCAACCACCCCCCGGCAAGAAAAGCCCAGAAGGCAGGGGTGGTGGGCGCAGGGTGTGAGTGTCAGCGCTTGTCGTCGTCATCCAGCGTTGGCAGATTCGCCCATGCCCGGGCGCCAAAGAACGCCAGGCATATCAAACCAGGGGAGTTGGGGGTGTGTGCGAGCTGGCGCAAAAAAAAAAAAAAAGCGAGGGAAAACCAAGAATCCGGGCCGCTAATTGGGCTCCTTGCCATGGCCGTGTTTATTCCGGAGGGTGGTTGGGCGGGAAACTGGTGGGTTTGCTGGCAGGGGGTGTGCGTGTGGCTGGGGACCGGCCCGCAATTAAGCGATCCCATTGGCCTCGGACCCGTGGCTGATGCAATCGCCGCCCAGGGGAGTCGGTGGCTGGGAATCCCAAAATCTTGGATCCAGGTTCGGAACTCGATCCCATGGTGCCATGGTGCCATGCCGCCAATAGTGCCAATGTGCTGGCATCTCCAACAGGCGGTCGGCGCGGTTAATGTCTGCCGGGTGACGTATCGAGCGGCGGTAAGGGTCTGGGCAGATAGATTAGGTAGGGAGGTGCATGCTTGGACACAAAAAGCAGCCGAGGCCCGCCCAGTCCTACGGCGTCAGGGACAAAAAGACATGGTTCGAGATGGAGACATGAATATACGTGTTGTCTCGGTCACGGCGGAGCTGCCATACTCGTTCCTCCTGGCCCACGACAGACCTGCCAGCCAGTGGCATCCCTTGGAAACCCCCTACAACAACACTATCATGCATCTCAGTCGCATGAGAGCACAGCCGGTTTTGTTGGATGGACTTTCTTTGTCTTACAGACCACGGCTAGGATGCTTCAAGATTGGAATATGCCACCAACAGGCCGCTGCCCAAGCATTCGGGTCGTTTCCTTTATTTTACCTAATAATTAGCCCTATCAGGGGAATGCCAGCAAGACGCTGTCGCGAGCATGGTCAGCAGTCCAACGCCTGTTTGATCCATGCGGGCTAGCGGCGGCTATTGGCGGCACTGTTACCCCTCAAACGACCCCTGAGCTCTAGCACTACTACCGCCTGCGGATATCATTAGTGACACAAAGGGCGCCACTGCCGCCCGATACCGGCAGCAAGGTCGGAGCTGCTTAGATAGGCACCGCTGAAGCGCCCTATTAAACATCAACATGGCCAGGCAAGAACTGCGACGCCTCTCTTCACACAAACCACCCTGAAACCTGGACATGGACCTGAATACATGTTGAGCTTCTGATTCCCGTCCCTTGATACTCGCTTTTCAGAAATTAGGAGGGTGTGTTTGCCCACCCACGATGCAGCGATACGTGCTGCCGAGAGCGTTGCGAGCCTCGGTCCCGAGGCCATGCCCCCACCCCGGAGCCCAGCCCGCTTATCGGCGCGGCTTTCACGGATCTGCGTGGCGCAACTCCGAGGTTGTCGGGTCCGCCGCGAAGCAGGTCCCGGGTGATGCGGAACAGACCCAGCCAGGTGTAGCGGCGGCGTCTCCGAGGCGCCAGCAGAGGATCACCATCTCCGACATCCTGGAGCGGAGGCGGAAGGCGGGGAAGCTGGTGGCCCTGACGGCGGCGGCGTCCGACAGCGACATGTTCAAGGTGTCCCCGCCGGGCGACAAGCCGCTGGCGCGCCGGTGGGACCACATGCTGAGCCCGGAGAGCGCGAGCCGGGCGCCGTGCAAGCTGAAGCAGGCGGCGCGGCACCTCAAGAATCCCGGGCTCATCTCGCTGGGCGGCGGCCTGCCGTGCCCGGACAACTTCCCGATCGAATCCATCTCGATGCGGATACCGACCGTCGCCGGCGGCTTCTCCGAGGCCGAGACGCGGGCGGCGGGCCAGGACGTGCGCGTCGGCAAGTACGACGTGCGGGACACGGCGGCGGACCCTGAGGGCGGGGCCGTGTACGACCTCAGCATCGCGCTCAACTACGGGCAGGCCACGGGCTCGGCGCAGATGCTGCGCTTCGTGACGGAGCACACGGAGCTCGTGTGCGCGCCGCCCTACGCCGACTGGCGCAGCTGCCTGACGGTGGGCAGCACGGGCGCGCTCGAGCAGGCCCTGCGCATCTTCTGCGACGGCCGCGGCCGGTCCGACTCGGTGCTGACCGAGGAGTTCAGCTTCTCGACCGCCGTCGAGACGGCGCTGCCGCTGGGGCTCGGCGTCTTTGGCGTGCCCGTCGACGCCGAGGGCCTGCTGCCCGACGCCATGGACGAGATGCTACGCGGCTGGGACCCGGTGCGCAGGGGCGGCCGCAGGAAGCCGCACGTGCTCTACACGGTGCCCTCGGGCCAGAACCCGACGGGCGCCACGCAGGGCGAGGCGAGGCGGCGGGCCATCTACGACGTTTGCCGCAGACACGACGTCTTCATCCTGGAGGACGAGCCCTACTACTTTCTGCAGATGCCGGCGTACCAGCGGGGTAGGGCGGCGGCGGCGGAGACCGCGCCCGAGTCGACTGACCAGTTCCTCGACGGGCTGATCCCGACGCTGCTGAGCATGGACGTGGACGGCCGGGTGCTCCGCATGGACTCCTTCTCCAAGGTGGTGGTGCCGGGTTCGCGGCTCGGCTGGGTGACGGGGTCGGAGCAGGTCATCGAGCGCTACATCCGGCACGGCGAGACGTGCAACCAGGGGCCCAGCGGCATCTCGCAGGTGCTGTTGCACAAGCTCCTCGACGAGAGCTGGGGCCACGAGGGCTACCTGCGCTGGCTGATGCGCCTGCGCGCCGAGTACACGCGCCGCCGCGACGTCATGATGGCCGCGTGCGAGGACTTTTTGCCCCGCGAGGTCGTCAGCTGGACGCCGCCGCGGGCGGGCATGTTTGTGAGTACCTATACTCCTTTTTTTTCTCCTTTCGTCTAGTGCCGGCCAGGCGATCCCTCTTTCTTGATGTTCTACCCTCGTTCCCTCTCCCATATGCTAACCGCTCAACGAACCCGCCACCAGCACTGGCTAAAGGTGGATCACACACGCCACCCAGACGCGGCAAGCCGCAGCATCCTGAACCTGGAGGAGGACATATTCGGCAGGTGCATCGACAGCGGCGTCCTCGTGGCCCCGGGGTCCTGGTTCATAGCCGAGCACGGCTCGGAGCCGACCGGGCTCTACTTCCGGGCCACATTTGCGGCCGCGACGCCCGAGAATATGACCGAGGCCATCCGCAGATTCGGGGAGGCTGTGCGGCAAAGCTTCAAGCTGAGCTAGGGACAAGGAGCAGCTCCTCGTCTCTGATAGCTAGCGCCCTGATCCTAAAAACTCTAAATAACGCACATCCGAACTCTACCTTCCCAGAAACCGTACCAGAACATTGCCAAGTGAGCTGTGGATTTGATGGGCTCTTTCCGGTGCAGGTCCCAGAGCAGAATCTGTAGTTCCGTAAGTCCTTCCCTTTTTGGATTTGTGCTCAGACATTCCCCCGCATAAAATATTGGTTTTGATGAATGCACCCCTCTTATTTTTGTTCTATTCATGTTGTTCATGCTTGTTCCTGTAATTCTTAATCCTGTTATTTATTTTTTAAATTTTTCTACTGGTCTCGTTCCTATTCCTCAGGGCCTGCCCACCGCACCGACAATCCCGATCTTTGAGATCTGTATAATTCCCTCGTGGCGGTCAGCGAAGCTTGCTCCAACACGAGACCCTTGGTATCGCCAACTGGGAGAACTCGAAAAACAGGGTATTAGCAGCATGGGAGTCCAGGTCAAGCCCAATAGCAAGTTTCCCTCGTGCACGGTCTGCTTTCAGACAAACACCCACGGCCTGCCTAGCTGCTTTTAGCCCAATACAGGCGGGAACTGACGTAGGTGGTGGTGAGCTAACTGACACCGTCGCTAGAATAGCCCAGCAGTGCCCCTCCCAAATGAGCCTGCCAGTGCGGCGTCCGACTGGTGGGCCGGTAAGCTGGTTCCAAAGAGAGGTTCTCCGGTGGACGAGGGGAGGGTACAGTAATATCGCAGATATCGAGGGGATCGAGATGCCAGTCAAGCAAGTGCGACTCTTTTCCATTCGTCCTGGTATATTTGATTGCAGCTTAACGCCATGTGTCTAATCGCTCTGACATAGGCACACAGTGTCGGTCCTCCAGCGCAGACATGGGTTGCGTCATAAGCTGCAACCGAAAGGCGGGTTGGCCCCTGTTGATTGGGCAGGGGCCGAGCCTGGAAGTTGGGCAAGATAGCAGCTCACGCCGAGGTGGGATTGGGGTCTGCGTGCGACGGAAGGCTCGGTGCTGCACGCTGCAGGCCCCAAGAAGACAGATTGGCTAGCTGACAAGAAGAGAGGCGCAAAGGCGCATGAACATGTGCCAGTCTGGAGGTTCAAGGTGGCATGGCCGAGGCAGCAAGACGATGGGGTTTGTTCTGGGTTCTGAGAATAGGCGGGAGATCACCTCATCCAGCTCAGCTCCTCACCCAGCTCCTCATCCAGCTTGGGAAGCCCCGGTTTTTGCTGCTGGTCCCGCCCACCTCGAGTGACGCCCTGCCCAGTTTCGGTGCAGCCAGCACCATCCTTGCACATCTCCGACGGGCCAAAACAAGAGAAGGGAAAGAAGAAGACTTCCCGGAAGGAGCCAGACAAGCTACGTGCCGTTTTTGCGCTGTTGAGGGCCGCCGACAGCTACCGTGAGTTGCCGTGCCCGCTTTTCCAGATCTTCTCCAGCTCGGCTCCAGCTAGCTCTGTTCTCGGATCGCGAGCCGACCGAACCTAAGGGAAAGAAACATTGAACGAAGAAAAAACCGCCCCGGCGCACCACCACCAACCACCACCGCGGGCAGGTGCGAGCGGCTGTACCCACCCCAGAGTCAGCCCGGCCCGCACGACGTTTTCCGCGCTTTGCTTGTGCGGTTCAAGCCCTTGCTCACATCCTTATTATTCTATTTTCTTTCTCTTCGCTCCGACTAGCGAGCAAGTCACCCCGTCTCGCACCTCGCGGCTGGCGTTTGTTCTGGTTGGACGGACGGGCAGACAGACTACCGCCAGAGTCGATGAAACCCCGTTGACGGCGTTTGCGCCAGAGACAAACCGCCGAGGCTGCGCGCCCTGCCGACAGCACACCAGACTTTTATGCCGACGGCGGACAGCTGACGTACGAAACCGCGAAACACTGCGTGCCGCCGGCCCGCACCCCTGCCACTGAACCTGACCACCGCCTGCCTGCCTGCCTCCACCTCTCATCGACCTTCGTTCGTGCTTTGACTTGGTGGTGGCAAATCATTTTTTCTTCTTTGGGCTTCTTTTTCTGTTGTCGCCATTCTTTTCTGTCGTCATCTTCTTTTTACTCTACCCACCGACGTACCGAGCTGTCGAGCGTCGCCATAGATCGCGCCTGCGCAGCTGCCTCGATCCCGTCAAACGCTCCCCACCAGCGCCCCCCGCGCCGCGCCTGCTCGCATTGTGCGACCCCTCGGCGCCAGGCCAGCATAATAGTAGCACGAACATGTCTTCCACATTGCGAGCATCGTCCCACCACTGCCGCTATTGAAGCCGCTTGAGGGTACGGAATAAAACCGCTCCTCCCACCCGCGCCGCACCCCCGCAAAATACCCCCCTGTCGTCATGGACGGGTCTGCCATTGCGGCGGACGAGATCGACCCGCCCGCCCGACTGGTCGAGCGTCTGAGACAGATAGCTGGATACACCTGGGACGACAGCATTCCCATCTTTCATTCAAGCTTCGACAATTGGTGAGGGTTCCGATAGAGAGAAGTCCCCGCAAGCCTGCCTTGACGAAATGTGTCGATTAACACTTGGGTGCCCCTCCGCAGGCATGTCTTCGGCACTCGCTTCGTCCCGGCGCACGCCGGCAGCTCCCACACACAGGCTCCGACGCCCAGTCATCTGTACTCTCCGTCGCAGCCTCCCGCCCCCTCACCGCAGTATGCCGGAAGCCCCGGATCGTTCTCGAAAGTGTCCCTGGCCCGACCCGGGCTGATGGACACCCTCAGCAACAACAGCCTCTCGGCCGCCCCCAGCGACGGCGGGAGCGAGCCCTCCGCCGTGTCTCCGCCGCCCCTCTCCCACTCGAACTCGGCCGAGTCCCCGCTGATCGAGGAGCCCGTTGTTGCCCGAGTGTCCTTCCATGTGCTTCGCGAGGAGAGGGCTTTCCACGTCGCAAAGAGTCTCATCGCCGCCAGCGACAACAACGGCGAGCATATCGCGAAGCCCATCGATCTCATCCGCCTTGCGCCACAGCCGGGCGACCGAGGCCCCATTGTCGTGGCCATCTACACCAACTCGGGCCCCAATTATCTGTTCAAAGTCCTGGATATGGGTCCCGCTTGGTACTGGGCGCGAAAGTCTGGAGATGGCTACGAGGCCCAACCAAGACCCGATGAGCTCCGCCTGGAGCCCCCGATATCGCTGAACCATTTTCTCGACTTTGCCATCGGGGCGGCCAAGTGCCTCGAGCTCCTGCACCACGGCCAGGGGATCGTCCACGGGGAAATCAGAGGCGATGCGTTCCACTTCAACTTGGAGACCGAACAGGTCAAGTTCGTGTCGTTGGGGTCTGGAGTCAGGTCCTTCGAGCATGGGCTCACCAGCACGGGCTGGTCGACACTGTCCAAGGAGAGAGGCGCCAAGAACAAGCTGCAGTTCATCAGCCCCGAGCAGACGGGCCGTATGCCGGCCGAACCTGATACGCGCACCGACATTTACTCACTAGGCGTCTTGTTCTGGACCCTACTCACGCAGAAGCCTGTTTTCGACGGTCCTTCGCCTCTCGATGTGGTCCAGGGCGTGCTCAACCGCCGCATCCCGAGCGTCTCGGTAGTGCGTCTGGATGTGCCCGAGGTTCTGGGGAGGGTAATCCAGAAGTGTACCTCCAAGAACATGGGTGAACGCTACAACTCGGCGAGCGGACTGCGCTACGACCTGGAGAAGGTCAAGGAGTTCCTGCTGGACGGAGACCACCTCGCACTCAGGGAGTGGCAGATCGCGTCCAAGGACGTGTCTTCGTTCTTCATGCTGCCAACCTCGATGATTGGCAGGGCCCAGGAGAAGGAGCAGCTGGCCAGTGTCATCGAGCGTGCCGCCAAGAATCATGTGATGCAACAGAGGAACAATCCCAACAGGATGTCAGATGGCTCCGCCTTGTCCAACGAAATCGACAACGCCGAGGTGTCGAGCGAGGGGACAGGTTCCGTGGACGGGACTACACGCCGTAGCGGATCCTTCACCCAGACAATCGCGTCAGATCCAAAGACCCGAAACAGCTACCACCCTTCGATTCATAGCATAGACCGGGATTCGGTCATGTCCCTCGAGACACCCTCCTCAGGGCATCCGAGTCTCTCAGGCCTTCGTGGGCCGCCCAGACACTGGGATAGCAGGCATCAGTCGGTTTCCTTCGACACCCGAAGTATTGCCGACACCGTCATGTCCGCCGACCGAGAGACCTCCTCCCGCCACAGCGCCGCCATGGACTCGGTCAGCCTGGGAAGGAAGCTCGGCTCGGCCAGGTTCCGCCGTAGGGGACACTGCGAGATCATCACGGTCGAGGGCGCCGGCGGCCTGGGCAAGAGCTGCCTTGTGCAGTCGGTCCTTTCGGAGAACAGGCGCAGGGGCTACTCTGCCACGGCCAAGTGCGACACCGCCAAGAGGACCGCCTTCGGCCCTGTGTTGAGGCTCCTGTCCTCGCTGGTCAGGCAGCTCTGGGGCGAGAGGAACACGGACACAGCCCTGCACAAGGAGTTGAAGGAGAGCGTGCACGGCGTATGGCCTTCTCTGCACAAGGTCCTGGGGCTGCCAGAGTTTCTCCTCGGCCCCGTGGACCCCGGCGTGGTACGGTCTCCGTCAATCACCCAAGGCCCGACGCAGCCTCCCCCTCCCCGTGGGGCAGGCCGGGCCCCAGCTAAGCGCCGCGGTTCGTCGCCGGGCTCGTCGATTCACAGCTCACGGCTGTCGATCCAGAGCTCCCAGGACTTCCTCCGCTCGGGGAGCTCGGCCAAGTCGATCCGGCTTGTCAACACCTACCTCGACATCCTGAGAATGTTCACGCAGCACAAGTTCATCTGCCTGTGCCTCGAGGATCTGCACTTCGCCGACGACGAGTCCATGGATCTGATTACGCAGATCATTGCGGCCCGGCTAAAGCTAGTCATCATCATCACGTACCGACCGGATGAGTTGAGCCCGGAGCGGATGCAGCGAATATTACATCCGCCAGATCCCGAGGGCGAGCCCCTGGACGGCTCGCTAATCCGCTCGCCAATATCGGTGCACGAGATGCCAATCTACACGACCAATCGGCCGGCCGACTACCCCAAGACGGGGCCAACGGTGACAAGGATCTGCCTCTCGCCACTGGGCGAGAACGACATCGTCAAGTACGTATCGACGACGCTCTGCTCCCCGCCCGAACACATTCTCCCTCTGGCTCTCGTCGTCCAGTCCAAGACCGGGGGCAACCCCTTCTACATGCGGGAGATGCTCAGTGCGTGCCACCGAAAAAAGTGCATCTGGTACGACTACCGCGACTGCCAGTGGCACTTTGACCTGGACCGCCTGTTCGAGCAGTTCCAGGGCGAGCAGAACTACGACGTCCTCAATACCGACTTCATCACACGACGGCTAGACGAGCTGCCGCCATCGTCGAGGGCGGTACTGTCCTGGGCAGCCCTTCTCGGCACCAACTTTTCGTTCGAGCTGGTGTGCCATCTGCTTAGCGGCGAGTTCGACGACGCTGGTTTACAGTGGGAAAGCAGCCACAAGCCCACAGGCTATTCTCAGGAGGAAGCGGTTGCGGGTCTGCAGGCCGCCGTGCAGGCGTACATCGTCGTGCAGGGCGACCGGGACGACCGGTTCCGGTTCGCCCACGACCGCTACATCCAGGCCGCCGCAAACATCAACCAGTGCGATGCCCACAAGATGCACTTTGTCATCGCGCAGACGCTGCTGAAGCACTACAACAAGGACCGGTCGCGGGACGGGGTCGCGTCGCACATCTGCAACGCGCTCAGCATCTTCCACGACCGCGTCAGGGACAGGAAGCCGTACCGCACACTCCTTTTCGAGTGCGCAGAGGCGGCGACGGCCAACGGCGCGAGGCCCACGGCTGCCAAGTTCTACAGCGGTGCCCTCGCCCTCCTCCAGGAGGACCCCTGGGACGACGCAAACCAGGACGTGTCGTACAACGAGACGATGCGGCTCTACCTAGCGGCGGCCGAGTGTTATCTCTACATGGGCCAGCTGCCGCTCGCCACGGGCGTGCTGAATACGGTCTTCGAGTGTGCCAAGACGGTCTTCGACAAAGCGCCGGCCTGGGTGCTGCAGTCGCGGGTCTACGCCCAGAGCGGGAACGCCGTCAAGGCGCTCGACTGTCTCAAGGAGTGCCTCGGGACCATGGGCGTCGAGCACAACGACTCGACGACCTTTGAGGAGTGCGACGCCGAGTTTGAGAAACTTTCGGCGCAGATCAGGGGCATGGACCGCAAAGACCTCCTCAGCCCGCCCAACACACAGGACCCGGCCCTAGGCATGTCGTTGGGTGCGGTGCTAGCCGAAACCATCAGCGCGGCCTGGTGGAGCGACTGTCTGTGCTTCTACCAGCTGTCGCTCTGCATGCTGGGTATGCACCTCAGGCGCGGGACCATGCCGCAGTCGGGCATGGCCTTCCTGCACATGTCCATGATCGCGCTGTCGAGGTTCAACAGGATCGAATTCGCCCTGGAGCTGGGGTCGTACTGCCTCGATCTGCTAGACATGACGCGCGACCCCTTCTCCATGGCCCGAGGTTACATGATCTACGCTAATTTCGTAGAGCACGCCCAGTACTCGGTCGTGCTCGCGGCTAGCCAGCTAGATAGCTCAGTCGACTATGCGGCGTCGGCGGGCGACCGGATATCGGCCATCCTCGCCATCGGTCTGGGGGCGCAGTTGCGCTTCTTCGCCAGCGAGAACTGCATCGACCTCGAGGGCCTGTGCGAATACAGCTGCGAGGAGATACCCTACTGGAACCAGGACTCGCGAGGCGGCTCCATGCTGCTGGCCGTCCGCCAGGTCTGCCGGGCGCTGCAGGGCAAGACACGCGTCTCGGAGGCGACCGAGATCATGACGGACGAGCACCACAACTCGCCGGGCTACAAGAGCTGGCTGGCCAATAACACGGAGAACGGGAACCGATCGCTGCTCTTTTACGAGACGCTCGAGTTGGCCCCGCTGTTCCTCTACGGACATCTCAACCGGGCGGTCGAGGTGGGCAAGTTCTGCGTCGAGAACTCCCATCTGATCTGGTCGGCGCGCAACACCAGATTCGCCATGCTCTTCTACGGTCTCGCCCTTGCCGGCCAGCTGTTCCGCCAGCGACGCGACCCGCGCACGAGGCAAGCGGCCGGACCACACGAAGAGGCCGTCAAGGTGACGGCCCGGCAGCTCGAGTCTCTGCACCGGGGAATCATGGACTGGCAGGTGGTTTCGGACGTCAACTACCTGTCGTGGTCGCGGCTGCTCGAGGCCCAGATGGCGGAGCTAGCCGGCGACCAGGGGCGGGCGATCCAAAAGTACGAGGAGGCTCTGGACCACGCGTCCGAGAACGAGTTTGTGTTCGAGGAGGCGCTGGGCAGCTATCTCATGGCAGGCACTCTCATCAGACTATCGGCATGGCGGTCGGCGCGGTCGGCGCTCAAGGACGCGGTCGGGCTCTACCGGCAGTTGGGCGCGGTCGGGGTGGCAGAGGCGATCGAGGTGGAGCACAGCGTGGTGATGCGCGGGCCGGCGCGCAACCACCGCACGGCGGATGCCGGGATGCAGACCGAGACGGACTTTGCCGGCGCCTCGGCGGCCAACGACCAGTTCCACCAGGCCATGGGCGAGGAGGGCACGGCGCGGAAGCTCACGCAGGCGGGCATGGCGGAGCTCAAGGGCGAGCGGGTCGGGGCGTGGCGCGGATCCATGTCGCTGACGAGCGCGGCCGAGGCCGGGGCCGGGCTGCCGACGCTAGATATGATCGATCTGCACGCCATCCTGCAGTCGTCGCAGGTCATCTCGTCAGTGCTGGACGTGGACGAGCTGCTCAAGACGATGTGCGACGTGATCCTGCAGACGTGCGGCGGCGCGGCGACGCTGGCGGCCATCGTGATCGAGGACGAGGGCACCAAGCAGTGGAGCGTCGCGGCTATGGGCGACCCGGAGAAGGGGGCCGAGACGCACAAGCCGCGCACGATTCTTAAGGGCAGCTCGCGCGTGGCCGAGAATGTGATCCTGTACAGCACGCGGTTCCGCGAGATGGTGTTCGTGCCCGACATCATCGGCGACGAACGCTTCAGCAACGTCAGCAGCTACTGGCTGCGACTCAACCCGCTCGGCAAGGCCGTCATCGCTATGCCCATCTGCCACGGTGCCGACAAGATGCTCGGGGTGCTGTACCTCGAGGGCCTGCCGCAGTCCTTCACCGACCGCAACGTAACGGTTCTGCAGCTGCTGGTCAACCAGATCTCCATCAGCTACGCCAACGCGCTGACCATGAAGGCGGTCGAGAAGGTGTCTGCCGAGAACGTGACGATGCTGTCCTTCCAGAAGCAGGCACTGGCCGACGCGCTGCAGGCGCAGGCCAAGGCGCGCGCAGCCGAGAAGAAGGCCAACGAGAACGTAAAGCTAGCCGAGGAGGCGGCCAAGGCCAAGTCCATCTTCCTGGCCAACGTCTCGCACGAGCTGCGCACGCCGCTCAACGGCGTCATCGGCAACTCGGAGCTGTTGCGCGATAGCAGCCTCAACAGGGAGCAGCTTGAGATGGCCGACAGCATTCGCGTGTCGGCCGACCTGCTGCTCACCGTCATCAACGACATCCTCGACTTCTCCAAGATGGAGGCCGACAAGATGAAGCTGTATGTCATCGCCTTCAACCCCGAGGAGATGGTGCGCGAGGTCGTGCGCGCCGTCTCGTACAGCAACCGCGAGAAGACGCCCAAGAAGAACGTGGTCATCGTCAAGGAGATCAACCTGCCCCAGCTGCTCATCTACGGTGACCCCATCCGCCTGCACCAGGTGCTGGGCAACCTGATCGGCAACAGCCTCAAATTCACCGCCAGCGGCTACATCACCATCGGCGCCCAGCTCGACGAGGAGACGCAGGATAAGGCTACCCTGACCTTTTGGGTGCGCGACACGGGCATTGGCATCCCGCCCGCCCAGCTGGCCAAGCTGTTTGTCCCCTTCAGCCAGGCCGACCCGAGCACGGCACGCAAGTATGGAGGCAGTGGCCTGGGGCTCAGCATCTGCAAGTCGCTCGTCGAGACCATGATGAAGGGCCGCATCCACCTCGAGAGCCAGGAGGGCGTCGGCACCACGGCATGGTTCACCGTCACCTTTGACAAGGCGAGGCCCGATGTGTCTGCCGGCGAGGCCCAACAACAGCACCATCACCACCATCATCAACAACAACAGCAGCAGCAGCAGCAACAGCTCAAAGGGCTCCCGGCCCAGCAGCTCGTTGACTCGTCATCGCGCCACCAGCACTACCACACACACTACCATCAGCACCACCGCGAGGCCGGGCTGGCGCCGTACTTGGACCTTACGCGGGTTCCCCGCGACCAGATCCGCATCTGCGTGGCTGAGGACAACGCCATCAACCAAAAGATCGCAATCCAGTACGCACAGCGCCTTGGATACACGCGCGTCGACGCCTATGACAATGGGCTCAAGGCAGTCGAAGGTTTGCGCCAGAAGGCCAAAGAGGACGAGCCCTACCACATAATCTTGATGGACGTGCAGATGCCCGTGCTCGACGGCTACGAGGCCACCAAGCTGATCCGCCGCGACCCCATCGAGGCCGTGAGCAAGATCCTCGTCATCGCCATGACCGCCTCGGCCATCCAGGGCGACCGCGAGAAGTGCCTGGCTGCCGGCATGAACGACTACCTGGCCAAGCCCGTCCGCTCCGAGGTGCTCAAGAAGAAACTAGAAGCCTATGTTGGCACCGCGGTAGGTTTGATTGTGAAAGCTTGTGAAGCGAGTCTTGTTATGGTGACAAATTTGTAGGGATGCCCTTTGCTGACATGCGTGCTCGCCCCTGCCACGACAGCCCCCTCCCGACCGCTTCAGCTCGCCGATGTTTCCGTCGTCACCCTCGCTCAGCCCTAGCCCGCATTCATCACCCGTGGTGGGTAGCCCGACGGCACCGGCAGGACCATCGCCTCCAGTCATGGTACCCAGAAGCAGCGGGCCATCGCCTCCCATAGCCAGCCCGCGACCATCGGCCATGAGCGGGCTAGTGTTGGCAGAGGTTCCTGTCAGAGACGGTCCGCCGTCGGTAGCGCCGGCAAACCGCAGCTCTTTCGGGAGCATCACATCGCCAGTCGTCCAGGGGATGCCAACATCGAACAGCGATACGCGCCTGTCTGACTCGGGCTCCATCTCGGGATCGATTTCCGGCTCCATGTCTGCTACCGACATATCCACCTTGGCCTCATCCTCCAAGCGCCAGCCTAGGAAGCTGACCAAAAACCGTGGAGATGCCGCCGCCTCGGCGCCGCCAGCCACGGAGAAGAAAGCGCCGGCGGTGCTCCAGAAGAAGAAGGGGCCGCATCGAATGTCGACCTCGTCCGAGACGCTACTCGAAGCCGGCGGCGGCCTGAACTTTGGCAGCTCCAGGGCCAGCACGGGCGGATTCGAGCCGGCAAGGTTTGGGGACAATGGCAGCATTAGGAGCCACCAGAGCGTAGCCTCCATCAGCTCCGGGGCCAGCAAGGACAGGCTCAGCAGCAGCTACGCCGACCAGGGGCCGTTCTAGCCCTGAAGGGAGAGAGGCCTCGGGGCTTGCCCAAAAAGGAGTTCCTCTTTTCTTTTTTTTTCGTCCGGAGGGATGGCCTCAAACCAAGAGGTCGTCATCCCTGCAAGCCGATCCAGGCTCGCAGTATCTCACATTTCCAAAGTGTGTTTGTGTGTGTGTGTCCTCTATATACCCCATCCTACGTCTAGCTACAGATGTCTCGTATGACCTCTTTTTTCGACTTTATTTTTTATGTTTTACATCAATGGGCTTTTTTCTTTTTTTTGCTTCTTCGCATCTCGGCATCAGATCACAGCATGTTCATGGAGGATGGCGAACAGGGACCAACTTGGTACTTTGCTTATCTATCACGCTATCTCCATTCCCTACATACACTTGAAAGACACTCGGTTGGGTCGTTTATCTCTCTTTTTTGAACTTGGCGTTCTCGACTTATCCTCCTCTTTCTAACCATTTTCAAAATATTCCCCTCTATTTGCTGGAAATGGGGCCCCATTTTTTTCTGGTGCACACATCCCTTTCATTTCACCATCATTTCCCCCCGCAGAGAAGCCGATTTCCGCGGTTGTGGGATACAGGTTCAACGGCGTTCGAAATTGTGCTCACCAACCGTCTGGGTTGGTGACTATCTTTATCTCATGATTCAGGTGTACATGTAGTACTCCTAGTAACTTTACGATCCGCAAATACTTTCAAAGAAGTAGAGACGAAGCCGATGGCATAAAGAAACCCAAAATTGACCACAGAGCGAAGTTACATGACCAATGTGGTCAAATCACGGCATATCTGTCGTTCTTGGTGTTTTATGCCTGCTGATTGTTTGCTCCGGTGATTGACGATCAGTCTTCTTTTCACTTTGCCTTGATGCGTGCATCCATAACGTCACGCATGACCTGGCCAATCCCCGTTCAAAAAAAAAAAAGACCCCGGGCGAAAAGAACAGTGACGAATATGGCAAAGGAGAAATAAAATACAAAGGCAAATTTGCTCCCACTACTCGGGGGCTAGAACTCGGTGTTACTAGGGGAATCCCTCCTCCTCGGGCACGAGCGGCCCGGTCCGGCGAGGGGTGCGTGCGTGCGTGCGTGGGTATAGTGGTTTGTCATTATTGATTGCGCGGCGGACATCGCACACCTTTCAAGACAGCAAGCCCTCCCCTCCATCAGTCATCCTTTTGGGGTGGCCATCCGAACAAGTGCTCTTTTTTTTTCTCTTCTTTTCGTTTTACCTGGAGACGAGACACTTTGTCTGGGGAGGGGGGAAGGGGGCGTGCGACCTGGCCGGCAACGAACGGGGCCATGTACCCGGGTTTGAGATGAAAACTGCAAGTGCTGGTCGGTGGTCATGGTGGGCTGGAAAGAGGCAGGATGCTGACGTGTTCACCCATCGGTGTTTTCCTTCTGGCGTTCTACGGGGCTTGTGAACTTGACGGGCAGCTTCCGGGCCGTCGGGCGAGAAATGCTTGTCTGCTTCTTGGTGTGCGTTAGATGTTGAGCATAAAACGCAGAGGCGGGCGAGACGCGCCGAGATGCATCTTTTTCTTGCAGAACAACGACCTCTTGCATCACCAAGGGCTTAGCGGCTGGTATACGGCGAGTCGAGAGAGAAGCCGGTCGTGGCTTAGCTCCCTAGGGCGCGACTCGACTATGGGCTGTCGCTCAGGCTTGGATATGAAACCATCGCCAAATGGCCACAGCAAAAAGATCCAAGCGCAGTCGAGACAAGTTTTGACGCCCCAATATCGGAAAGCCAGCAAGGGCATTTTGGTTGCGTTCGCGCCTGGACACGTAGACAGACCAGACGAAGAAGCGAGGCGGGCGGAGAAGCCAAGGCACACAACCCCTCTCATCCCATCGGGATGCTGAGCCTGCCGCTCGACAGTCTTCCTCCCAAGTGGTTTTCCGCGTAACGAAGAACCTTGGACCCAGCCCGACTACTTAGGTTCTCGGCTGCCACCGATCCAGTCAAAGCTCAGAGGGCAAAGAAAAAATGCAGACATAAGGCCAACCAAGCAAGCCAATGAGAGGCCAGCAAAGTGCCGGAGACCATGAACATTGAAGGCCAACCTTGTCCGGCCACAGCAGGAACCTGGGGCACCACTCTCGTCGAAATGAAATCTCCTCGTAGCCTCATGGCAGTTGTGTCGGGAAGGGGACGGGCAACTAGAGACAGACAGATGGGTAAAGGAATCGCGCGCTTACCAGGGAGACAGGAACGAGATGCGACGGGCTAGATCCCTCTGGCCGTCTCCGCCGCGGTTAACCTGCAGCGTCTTGGCCGCATCGCGCCTCTCTGTCGCCCCCTGGGGTCGCAACCACTCGTGCGCTGACACATCTCTGTCCCGAGAGTGCTGACGACGTCCTATTTCGGCTCGGCAAGGAGCTCGGCAGCAGGGTCGTAGGAAGGAACAGGGCCGTGCCAACCGATGGCTTGCTCGCAGATCTCTCTCTGCCGCGCTCGTCAGCCGAGAGTGCAGCAGCGACTGATTTCGTAAGCTCGTCGTCTCGAAAGCGCCCCGCGGGCCAGAGCGTGGCCAACCAATGTCGAGAAACACTCAATTGTGTTCTGGATCCGATCATGTCGGCCAGACCGGTCGCAGTTTATGGTTGCGGAAGTGAGAGAGGGACGGATAATTAGTAGGCGAGGGCCGGCACAAATCCTGCCCGAGCCGGAAGCGGCCAGAAAAGGAGACCACTTCGTCTCCCAGACACAACAGGCGACGGGAGCCACAGTTGAGGTTTTTTCTGTCTCTTCCTGTCTGCACCGTGTCGTTGCATGCGCATGCAATAACATTCCCTCCCATCCGGCTTGGACGGTCATATGCCGGCAGCCGAGTTTGTTATACCGGGGGCTTATTACGCCAGGAAGCCTATCGCATCAGACAGTTCTGGACTGCTGCCCCCGCCGGCCAGAGGAGGCCAAACAAAACGGTTGCCCCCGCAAGACAGGCCAGGAGGAGCCGTGAGGAAACAAGAGACCAGACGGGCGAGCCCAGAACCAACCGTCCCACGGCGTAAACGGGGCGGTTAGCCAGATGGCCAAGGCCGCAATGGGCGGGCAGCGTGGCTGTTGCTCATGTTGGCTAAATCGGGGTGTAACGCACGTACGATACGGGGTAGCATTCACGCATCGCCCCGGCCGTGATTTTCCCTGGACCAGACCAGAGAGGCCAAGATGGCTAGGCGGCGCAGATCAGAGGAAGGGGGGGAGCGAGTGAGTGAGTGAGTGGATTAGAAGTGAGCGATAGATGGAGAGGCAGCGATCCGGGGCCGGGATAGGGGGGCAATTGGATGGAAACACACCGGCTGCAAGCAACCGGATGCGACGAGCCAAGCAAGAGGTGAAGGCCTCGAAGGCCGGCCGTGGTGGAGGGTTGGTTCATGGGGTATTCGTGCTCTTTGCTCTTGTTGGATGAGGTGGTAACCCACGGGAGGGAGAGAGAGAGAGAGAGAGAGAGAGAGAGAGAGAGAGTCGCAGCTGCAGTCATCCCCTTCTGGAGGCGAGTCGGATCAAATCTCGGCTCCTCGCCTCGATGGGCTGCTCTCCCCTTTCCGCGTCTCGCACGCATCCCCTGCCTGGGAAGGTAGGGAGGGGCATGGATTGGCGTCCCCTTCTCTCCCGTCCGCTGCAGAGGCCCCTCACATTGCATCTCACATCTCCCTCCCTCCCTCACCCACCCCCGGCTCTCCGGCCGCGCCACACGGCCAGGGCCCCACTTGTCCCTACCTCTTGGCGCCGGGCGCTGGACGCTGAGCCGTGTGCCTGGGTCGCACGGAACGACGGGTGCGGGGTCCGGCGCTTATTTCGGAAGTCGTCTGACGCTTGTGGTGTCCGCGCCGAATGGGCGTGCCCTGTTTTCCGCCGAGGAGGGAGGGGCCATCGGCTGCCGCCCAGGAGCAGGGCGAGTGTTGTGCTCTCTGCTGCTAAAAACAAATCACGAATATGGTAAAGGGAATGGTGTTGTGGGAGCGGCGCACGTGGACGGCACGTTCCAGGGAAACAGCGAAGGAAAACAAAAGCGAAGAGCAAAAGCGAAGTGGCGCTCAGGCCGCCAACTTTGTTTAGCGCGCCATCCACACGGCAGGCACGTCTTGACCAGACATATCGTGCCTTCTTTACGGCCGAGGACTAAACACGGGCGTCTATCAGACCTCTCCAAAAACGGGTAGTCTATCTCCAAAGGTGGAAGTCGCATCCCACCGACTCCACTCCCCTAGGATTTCAGGTTGGGCAACTCCATCTTTCAACGTCGCTTGCTTACAGAGGGGGGGAAATCCTCATTTTTGCAGGCACCTTGCAGGCACCTACCCTGGGTCGGTCGGAAAATTCTCCGAAGTAACAGATAAAAAGCTGTCAAACAATAACAACAACATTAGCATCATAGCGATAAAATCCCAACATATAGGAGTGAGGGCATCGCAATAGGAAAGCCGCGCGCGCGGGGTGGTGAGGAGAAAAGTGGAGGTAAAGTGGAGCATGACCGACGCTTGCCCGTCCCGCCCTCCTCCCCACCTCCTCGTCGACAAATCCACCACTCGCAGGCCGTCGTCGAGCCCGACAAGAGGCGGCGCCTAACAGGGCCCGGCGCCCACAGCGTAGCATCAGGGCGCCTGCGCAGCCCTATAATAAGTAACGGGGAGCCGGGACCGCCAGGCCAGGCCAGGGCATTTGGAGCCCACCACCACCCTACCGGCCAGAAAAGATCAGATATCAGATCCCCTCCCCGGCTCGGTAGAGTTGCATTCTCTTGAAAACACCCCCGTTTTCGGTGCCCTCTTATCGCCAGAGTTCACCGTGGTGTGTGGCAACTGCCTGCCTACAGTAAGCAAAAGCCCGGGACGGATGGCCAAGAGCAGCCAGCGCCTGATATTGCCCCGTCAGCACCAGGATTTCGTCATGGATGGCGGCAGATCGTCTCATGGTTTCGCCGGTATTGAGCCAATCTGATAACTCGAATGTGACACACATACACAACCTAGCCACCACCACCACCACCACCACCACAAGCCCATCCCCACCCTCCATCTTCTCCGGGGGAAATTGAGAAACCACACTAGCCCCCAAAGTCAAAGCACGCCAAACTTTCCGAATGGGTGTGTGCGTGACTTTGTGTGTGTGTGTGTGTGTGTGCGCGCGTGCCATCCACGCTACAACGGCTGGGGCCATCGGTTGGCCGTAGAGGCGCGAGGTTAGTGGTGGGTGGTCTCCGCAAACGGCCTGATAAATATAGTATGGCATGCCATGTAAACCGGCCAAAGAACAGCCGAATATAGCACCGCCGGGCTAGCTAGCCCGCACCAAGGAGCCACCAACCAAGGAGCCAGGGTGGGAGCGCGTGGCCTCCCCCCCCCCTCCTCCGGCTTCCGAGATTGTCAGCCACTACAACCACCTACAGTATGTGCAATGTGGCTAGTGCGTGAGCGACGCTGCGGAATATAGTAAAAGATCACCGTTCCGGAGTATTGCTCCGAGGATCAACGTGGGGTGCAGCCAACAACCTGGCCACCGTTGGCTTTTGCGTCAACCGGTTCCTATTATTCGTCAAAATAAGTAAAATCGAGTGTGTGTGTGTGTGTGAAAATTTTGCTGCCGCCGCAGATCTTCGTACCGGGTATCATACAAGCTTTTCCCGCCATCGACAGGATTTGAACAAGGAAAATATGAGGGAAAAATAAAAAGGAGGAAAAAGAATGACACCAGCTATGCATAAAACTCCAACCCTGCGCACACCCGCGTGGCGGATATGCGCAGAAGTATGCCTCGCCAAGGCAGAGAAAAAAAGTCCGAAAGAAACAGGGAAATGAGACGAACGAATGGGGAAAAAATTTAAAAAGACAAAATGTCAACAATAAAAAAATCACACATCAACGCCAATTGTATCCCCTTCCCGTGTTCCACACACGGGAAATGCACTGCCAACCTAAGCCTGTGGGTTTGTTTTGCGGTTTTCCCCTTTGGGACATGACGAATTTCCAGGAATCGGGCTTCTCAGCAAGGCCGGGGCCGTGACATGGACGCAACCTACAGGGGGGGCCGGAGATGTTTGTTTGTTGTACACACGGTCGGGTGACCTTGGATGACTCGTTCAGCAGAACGACAAGATAGCAAGGCCGCTCCGGGAGGGAAAAGAAACGGGGTGGCCTTTTGAGTGTTCCATGCTGCTGCGCCAGAAAAGGAGGCCTCTTGGCGTAAAAAATGAGGGGGGGCTTGCCTGCCCAGCAAAATGAGATTGGCCCAGTCAGCTTCCATACCCCCTGCGCAGCGGCCTTCGGGAGGACGCAGGGATGGCCCTGGTAGAAACCTAGACGGCTTTCCTGAAACGGCATCTCGACGCCGAAATGGTTGACAGACAGCCTGTCCGTCCTGGTCCGAGAGCGGGCCGTGCTTCTCGTTTCTGAGCCGGGAGGGATGCTTTGTTCCTGGAGGTATTGGGATTGCTTCCCTGCTTCCTTTTGCTGGCCCTGGGTAACGCGGATGACATTTCGGCATGGATGAAACGCGATGGAAATTAAAACAAAAAAGAAGAGAAAAAAAAACCCCCCGATTAGGAACGGGGAACAAAGACGGCAAATATTTTACTCGTTGTTTCGCGGGCGCATGGGTCCGCCGCTTCGTGTCGTACCAACTGGTGAATCATCCCTCCGCTCCGGCTCGGGTGCCGAGGGCTGATACTGCATCGTTCTAGGAGAGGGCTCTTCGGAAAGCAACGATGAGACGGAATGGGGCCCGCTGCGAGACGGTGGCCCTTGCGGTGGCGGGTGGTGCTGTTGCTGTTGCTGTGCATGTTGTGGTTGATTTGCGTGGTGCTGCTGCTGTCGTGAAGACTCCCCAGACATGTCTCCCTCCCTCGCGCTCGAAGGTGCCGACGAGTATGAAGGCGACATGTTGCCGTATCCGCCTCCTCCCGGAGGGTCCTGTCTCCCGCCGGGGCCTCCATTACCGCGCCCCGAAGGTCGATATAGAGAGAGATCGCTCCGCTGCCTCATGTGTCCACGTCTTCGTCCCCCTGCCGAGGTTGAGCTGTGCACAAAAGGTGGCGATCTGAGTCGCTGCTGCGAACTGGGCGGCGGTGGCCCCGGTACCGGTCCCGTCGCCTTTCGTTTCCGTTGCGGAGATTCCCCGATAGTTGGTGGTTTTTCTTTGCGTAAACAAAGGAAAATTAGCCCGGGCCAAACCAAAACAAAAAAATAACGGCGTACGGAGGATCAGGAGGGAGGGCAGAAGAGAGGATCCCCCCTCAAGAGCGTGTTCTGGCTGTAGACGAACCCGAAGGCGTGGCCGGCTGGTTCGAGCCGCCCGAGGCGGCCTGGCTCGCCGGCGGATGCCAGTGGTGGAAATATATCGAAGGTGAGGACTGAGCCTGATCGCTTTGCTGGTGTGCCGACACCGCTCCTGCATGTGGCGGCTGCGCCCCGCCCGGCCCTCCTTGCGGGACGTTGGTGTTCAGCGCCGGAAGGTTCGAGGGACCGGGGGGAGGGGGAGCTCGAGCGCCCGGGACACTGTAGCCACGGGGTCTGGCAGGAGAGCCGGGGGGGTGACTGCCGAATGAGCCGTGGGGTCCCTGGATCGAGCCAGGGGTCGGGGGTACGCCGCCGGAGGGCTGGTATGCGCCGTATGCCTGCGACTGCGAGTCTCGCCTGTGCTCGGGAGATACATGCCCGGACGCGGGCGGGAGCTGGGGCTGGGGCTGGTGTGGGTGTTGCTGATGCGACTGCACTTGCGAGTGCATAAACTGATGTGCCCATTCCAGGGCGGCCTGTGGAAGCATGTTTCCTCCCATGCCAGCGAAAACAACGGGCACCATCGGAGGTGGTATTCCCCCTTGCAACGACGTCCTGAGGATTTCGTGCTCTGTTCTTCGCTGCTCTAGACGCAGCGACTCCTGGCGCGTCTTTTCTTCTTCCTGCCTCCTCTTCTCCTCCTCGGCCTTGGCGTGGAGCCATGCCCTCATGGACTCGTCAGGGCCCTGCTGCCACTGCGGAGGGGCTGGAAGCTGGCCCAGCGATGAATTTTGCTGGTGTACTGAATGCTGTGGGGGCGCAGAAACCTGGCCCATCTGTGACCCTGCTGGTGGCGGCGGCCCAGCACCGTGCTGAAGCGGCGGCTGGGCCAAGGTCATGGCCGCCGGCGGTGGCAGGCCACGGTGAGGACCTGACATGGGCTGACCGGAGGGACTCGTGGTGCGAGGGATCGCGTGGGGCCGCTTTAGGGCCTCGTCCTGGTATATCAAGGGGGGTGACGGCCGAGACGTGCTTGGCGGAGTTGGCAGGTCATGGGCGGATTTGAACCCGTAGTGTACTGGCTGCTTGACGGTGAGCATCTCGTGTGCACAAGTTCTGAGTGTGTGTTTGTGTAGGTGCGTGCCGGTGGTGCATGAGCTCCGGTGGCTGTGCGGACGGGGGGCAAGGAGGGGCGATGCTGTGTTTGGTTGTGAACTGAGGGACGCGGATACGAGATGGCCAGGCCACAGAAAAGCCCGGGAGTGAAGGTGTTTGTAAAGATGGCCAGACACGAGCGAGAGGATGAGAGTGCCCAGGAGGTATGTGCAAGAAGAAGAAAAAAAAAAAGGCCCGAAGCAGACAGGACGGCTATGTATGTATAGCTATACCTATGCAGCTAGGTCAGGTAGGTAGGAGGGCAGGCATGCAAAAGAAGCAAAGCTGAACGAGTGTGGTGGGCCCCAGCAGCTCCGCCAGGACGGGCATGTGGGAAGCCCCAAAAACTAGGCAAAAGGGAGTAAAGGAGGGGATGCAGGAAGAAATGAGGAATGAGGGTGAAGGGAAAGTTCAGCAGAAGGAGAAGGGACACGAGTGAGCGGCTAGGTGGCCATTGGAGGTACCCATGAGCAAGAGGAGGAGAAAGAATGGGGAGGGTGAGGGGAGACGAGGCGGGTATGCAGGCCGGGCAGGTATAATAAAGATAAAAAGACGCACACGAAGCAAGCTACAAAGGGATGGGATGGCTGCAGGCAGATCGGCAGGCAAGTGAGGGAGATGCAGT